GTGATATTATATACGTCATAGCACTGATAATTATAATTAGTAAATATACGCATATTAAATAAATAAAGGCTCTATTGAATTTTGTTGCTGTTAGTTCAGTACAGACTGTACTGTACAGTGTACAGTATACAGTATGCTACAGTATACAGTACTGTACTGTACAGTATATACTGTAGTCCGTAAAGCGTGACCGTAGCTGCTCTTCTACAGTACAGTACCGTATTACTCATTCGCTCTCGATTTGAGCTCGTACAGTATTGTACCTGGCACGATCACCATCACTACCAGTCGGACTGCTAAGGCTTCTTATTGCTGGTTTTGGTCTGCCACAGATCTTCAGTATTGAAATTTTTCCATCAATTAATTCAATTTTGGGAAATTAAAATATTACACGATTCAAATCATTCTTGATATATGCTATCAATTCCCCTAAAATGAATAAAGCACGGCTAGCCCCTGAGTTATAATAAAGCGTTAGTAGTCTGTCGACTGTGAAAAACTTCTACTAAATATTACAGCATCCTCGTTTTGATTATTACTGGGCAATGCAGTGTGCAATGCAGCAAGTGAATAGTGAGACAAATTTCAGACTCGATTCGTGTGAATTTCAGAGACCGCCGTTTTTGAAGTACTATACAGTTTCTTCTCTCCTATCATTGACCAGAATTAAGTTAAAATATGAGTTAATTGCTGTACCAAGTTATTGATACGTAACTATAGCACAATTAATATAGTATAGAGATCATCAATTCTACATGAATAATATAGACTACTATACTATCATTTGTGGATTGGTGTTCATTTAGAAAGTAGGTGCGTTCGATCTCATTTTAGGATAACTAAACGAAATCAGTCTGTACCCTTATTGATCTAATTTCATATTTTATATCATATTTTGCTCACGATCCTAAAAAATTTCTTAATTTATCCATCCTTCAGCCCCTACAGTCAATCCAGAGTGCCAGAGTCTAGCCGATCTGATAAACTTCTTAAAGCAACGGCTAGATCAGATACCTCTCAACTTGGTGCCGATACCTGGACTTGACCCTTCCAAGAAGACAACTTTGCAGTGTTATGAATATCAAAATTGTAATGGGTTTAACTGCAGTGGAAAAATTTACGGACGCCATATGCAATTCTCTTTCAATTTGAACTACTGCACCAAACCGGTTACAGCAAATATTACGGTATATAAATCAGCAAATTAGAATTTTATAACGAATGTGTCTTATCCTATCTTCATGGTTTCAGTAATCATATTTAATTATGAGAAATTTTACCTGACTACCCTTATGATAGCCTTTTACTTACGGCAAATTTATATACAGTAATGGGAGAGATATCTGATAGTATACTAGAGGTTATGTTTAGTACTGGTCACTGTCATCGGTACAGTAATGCAAGATTTCAGTTACAATGCATGCAATTACTATATATACTCGAATCAGCAATGTCATGCTTTTTCTACAACTTTAAATGTCTGATATTTAGCTAAATCACCTTTTACTCTTACATTGATGATATGCTAGTTACCGTTACGTGAAGATGTTGTTTTTTAACTTGGTGACATATCAGATTCGCCTTAATTTTATGATAAAATTTTACATATTTACTAGCAATAGTGTTAGTTATAAATGGTTGTTTACTATTCATTTATGATTAAACGTAAACTGCTGTTAACACCCTGCTAAAGTGTATTTCAGAACTATTAATCGAATATTGACTCACTTAAAGAGTCTTAGAATGTAGTAAATTGTTTTCTTTAATCTAAATTCTTTTACAGGCAGCTTATCCAGCTGAGAATATTACCATTATCAGAAATATAAAGCACGCAGATGAATTTTTCATAACTAAGATTTCCTTCGTCATACCTACTATTAACGTGACAGTTCCTGTCAAATTGTTTGGGAAAATAAGTATGACGCGATCACCTGGAAAAGTAACCGTTACGGTAATTGATACTTAATGGCATTTGATTTGTATGGTCGTTATTAGTACAAAAAGTTTACTATTTGCCCGCTAATTTTAAAATATTGATGCCACCTCTAATAGCTAACTAGATTCGCAAATGCTAGCTTTTAAAACAAAGATTTGAACAATTTTCATGAAACGTCCATGCAATATTCTCGTTCAAATTTGTTTGCATCGCTTTGCTTACATAATTACCGTATGCTAAACTTGCTCTTGATTTACTTACTGTCAGTAGTATACACGTTAACTTACCAAAGTACTAAGATTTGACCAAAAACGTCAAGCGTTCAGTAAATGCCAATTATTATGTACTTATCGTTTAAGTGGATATTGAGTGACTCTTTCAGGTTAACTGTCTAATGCACCATTCCATGGTATCACATAGCATAATTGCAATATACGAAAAATGTTTAAAATCAATATTAAAATGTCATAGTTGTACATTGTACAGATTATGCTGTAAAAATTAGCTTATCTCTTGTGGATCTGTGATATATTTTCTAGGCTGGTATTATACCGAAGCTTGATGTGCCCTCGCCTATAGTGCCACCACCGTTCAATATCCTCAATAACAGAGTCATAAATGTTGACACTACACGCTGTGGTGGTAAGCACTATTACTTACATGTGTTCTAACTTCGTATATATACTCTCAAAAAACTGCTTAGCTGGCTGATCACTTGCTATTGATTATGTACGGTCCATATTAACTGATTACATTGTTGTAATGCTATACTACATTTTTCGAAATTGTTATATCTGATGATAACACGATGATGCGTGCACTCTCTTAATGCTTATGAGAGCCTTTCAGGCTTATCATACGCTAAACTATATTTATGATTACTGTGATCGCATATACAGTACTACTGTACAATGCACAGTAAAAATAGGTTATATATAAGTCCATGCATTCAAGGATATTATAGGACAATTACTAGCTTCCGAAGCAACTTTACGCTACTATACTGCAGTAAATCTGTTATGTATCGAATTCAATCGTCGAAAGTCTCTTTTGTAATACCCAACAAATTATCTTGCGAAAATAGAATTTCTTGGCAGTCGTACATAAAATTGATACTTTATTAAAATGCAATTTAATAATCATGCTAGCGTCAGACACAATTGTGATAATATGTTTACTACATTTCATTTAAGACGAAATTCCACCGGGTGGTACAACTATGATGACAAAAACTTCGAACGTAGGAGGGGCAACGAATCAACCTATCGGGCAAAGCAGCCCATTATCAGGTAAGTTTTATATATTTTTAGATTAATCTCTAACGTGTTGGTAGAAGCTTGACTTCAAATACTGAAACAGGATAGCTCACTAAATTTAAATATCGCCATATTATCTTAATTTAGGTGGTGATATTGCAGCTATCATCATGTCGATTGTGGCTTTCGTAGCTATAGTTGTAGCTGTTACGCTGTATTGGAAAAGGCATATCATCTTTAAAAGATATGCATTAGAAAATGATAAAGGAAATTCAAATGTAGCAATATAGAATATGTAATGAGTGAAGTTTTCGTCTGATTATTTTACGGATAAATTAAAACGCTATCTACTTGCAATATTAGTAATGCGATAGCAGTTTATAGTTACCGGTAGTTTATTTCTAAGTAGCTTTCTGTTCTATGATTTAACCGTTCTTAATATTCTTGGGATTGGGTTTTTCCATGTATTAATACGTATAATGCCGATAAGCTTGTAATACGCCGGCTATGGCGTATCTATAGGTATGTAACTGTTGAAAATACGGTACTTTACCAATGTTATCCTTTATCCATTATTATTGTCATTACTGGTAATCCCATATTATTAGATATTATGAAGTATTTATACATTGTATCGATAGCACAGAGTACGGTTGCCGTGTTCTATTTATTATTTGTCAGCCTATGTTTATCTTATGTAACATCATGCTACAGATACAGAAAATTTTTAGAGGTAAGTGTGTATCGCTAAGTTAACTTAGTGATAGACGATAAAGTATGTACAATGTAGCGGATTCTCTCCTACTGATATCACCTTAAGAACAATAACCGTATAAAAAATCTACAACTACTGTAAGTTATTTTTATTTTATTTTAAACTATACGGTAGCAACTAATGAGTGGTGTTTAACCAATAATAACTCTACATCTGAGAACAGTTATCAAAATATGCTTACATCAAACTCTTGTACAATGCCTATAAACATTAACAAGAATGTCACTAAAAAAATTATCTTTGATGCCGTCAAGTTACGATAAAAAGTTATTCTGGTTTCAATTATGAAATAAATTATTAACTTCCCGTAATGGTGATATTAGCTTTAAGTGGGCCTATTGCCAGGTGCACCAAAATATCGTTTCGATTCTTCTATTCGTGTTAAATAAGCATTATAAAAATCCAAAGCAGTAATTACTTTTCGACATGCAAACTGAACTTTCCTAAAAGCCACTAGACCATCCTGCAAATCAAATTAATTTTCTTCAAATTAACTTCTAATAACGTCAATAATCTTGAAATACTTTTAGTCCAGATTTAAATATGAATATTTACCTTGCATTTAATAATAATTGCGTTTAAATCCTCATCATATTTAACGAATCCATGCTTCATGTTCGTATGGTTTATATCTAAAAGTTAGTAAGTAGCAGTTTGAGGCAATCGTCCTCCGTTGTGTGGAATGAGCAGTAATATAGTAATCTTACCACTTAAATTAGCTTCATAATTCTCAAGATAACAAAAATCTATTAATTTCACAACGGTTCCCCTCCATGTTGTTTTTAAGCCCTTCTAAGTAGGTAAATAATATAGCTTATTAAGAAAATTTTGTAGCAAGTGTGTCCTACAATATTTACGAAAATAATTTCGCAAACAACGAACTAGAGATATACCTGGTAACCAAGGGCTCTCCACATTCTATTTATGAATTTATTACTATGTTCAGACCAATTAATCCAATCCATATTTTGATTAATTTTACTTGCTTTTAAGTATAAAATTAATGTATGAACTTGTAATAAGCTGTAGGCTTATTTCCGAACGATTACATAAGACTAATGCTATTCACACGTTGTTTACAAATTTACAGTTTACTGTATAATGATCGCTTTACCATAAGTTACGTTCCTTTCATTCTGCTTCTGGGCTTTCCGATGCAAATTCGCTAAATCTAACAATGCTCGTAATAACTATAAACAATATACCAAAATTTTGCATTAATTATATCCTTACGCTAGAGGTAAATGTACAAATAAATAGTATGGGGCATTTTGCCGATAGCATACTAGATTTGAACTTAGGTCAGCTAGACGATTATGAAGCTGGATGTACGTTTCCCTATCATTTATCTGCAAAAGTGTAGAAAGATCCCAATCACCATGGCATTATTGTTACACTAATTCTTATACAACTATTAATGAGACATGTTGAAGTATCTTATCTACTGTTATGTGCAGTTAGTTTAAAAGTTACTAATAAAGAATCCAAAAATCTCATTACAGAAACGCCAAACAGAATGACATCTCCAATATATGCTTATACCTTTAAACTTTCCTGCATTAATATACGCCCTCTGTCGTATCTGTTTCAATACAGATATTTAGTATTTATATTCATGACAAAGTTTGAAATATTAAAATATTTCGTTCACTAACTTATCTGGCAAAACATCAGCAATCGTCACGCCGGTCACATTGTCACCATGCAGCAAAGCGAATTGAATTGGAGACGCTCCTCTCCATCTTGGGAGTAACGAAGGATGAACATTAATTGCCCCTCTGCAATACATTGAGCCAATATAAGTATATCAGGTTATTAACTACAAATTACAATTACAATTTATTTTTTGCATCGGAAATTAAAAGTGATCTCGATATAGCAATTAACACAGTAGACTAGTAAGCTTAAATATATACTAATCTCCACATCAAACTGCAAATAACGAGTCTTGGCGCCTTTAGCATGCTACTCTGGTAAAACTAATCTACAGTATATGATCATCTACTGGATATATGTGTAAAAGAAAGTAAAACATTTTTTATAGTACCGTATTAGTGTCAAACATGCACACTTTAAGGCATCAATAAGCCCAAATATAGACCTTATGCAACCTCAGGAAATTTCGCAAATTTAATACAATAAATATGCGACGGTAGGCAATAATGGGTGGTAATTTTTACCCGATATCATAATCGTATGTTACCTCCTGTTAATATTAATATCTGTCTAAAATTTCACTGATTGTAAGCCGTAAGTGTATATTTTTTTTTAATACCTAACATCGTCGAATTAACAGTGTAGTGTAGATTGAAACCGATGAGAAATGACTATATACGAGACTGTACAGTACTGCAACTGTTTCATTATTAACAGTAGAAAGTAGAAATGGTAACCAAAAATGCATAAATAGTATATCAGCACAGAATAATATTGCAACACGTATACCATACCGTACAAATAAATCTATCCATCTTTTGCTAAGTAGGTGTCCAAATGAAACTACGATACCAACATCGAAACGATTCCTGTTGCACTCAATAAAGAGGCAAAAAGCATTTTTAATTATACTGTAATTGAATGCAATCGAAGTTGAGTAATCGTTAAAATCGCAAACTGCTAAAAAGTATAAAAATGTCTTTTTTAATTTTAATTTTATCAACCTGAGGTCACAGAATTCCCTGTTACTAGGAATCATATCGCTGTGGTCGTTATAATTATGCGCAACAAGGTCATTATTTCGAGCGTATTTCAATACTGAAGATGATTTCTTGCTATTCTGTTGAAAGACAGTTTCAAGCTAATTTAGTTATGAGCTTAAGATACAGTTTGTAGTCTATTTTAGCGAAGTCGTTACTAACCTTAAAACCCGAGTATACTATTTCGACTTTATCGACGATACGTTGATAGGAATACTTACATCGATTTAAACTGTACAAGTAAAATCAATTGAATTAATACTGTACAGTGCATACTTTATATGACATCCATCTACGTCTATACGTCTATACAGTATACTGCATAGGTATCTATAATAATATAATTAATACAGTAAATAAACTGACAATGCACATAGAGGCTAGGATCTAATTCAAATTTCGAATCAAAACTGTAATAATTTGATCATTTCGCAATGTAACTTCACCTATTTAAATGTACAGCATCGAGAACTATCGTTGAGAAAGCATCGTTTCCAAATAAGAGAACAGATAGCACTCGATTGTGCTTAACTTGCATTGTATCTTTCTTTATCAGGACTAATCATTAATTAATCAACTATCTAGTTATGATTATTATTTTAAGCATAATTATAACTAGCTAATAGTACAAAAAAAAGTGAATACAGTGAAACGTTATCTTGTAGTGATTAACATGATTCATTTGATTGCAGTTTGATTTGAGGGATCCCTCCCATCAGTTCCAATTTGATCGCAAAATGGCTTGCGCTGTACTAATCTGTCCAGGCAAAACTGTCAGCTAAAATGGCAAGGTGCAATGGTGCATGCAGGTGATGCAAAATCCATACAAGAACTGTCTAGTGCGCAATGTGCATAAAAGACATTCACGTGCAGTACTGTACTACTATGGCTACGATAATAGTAGAGACTACCAAAGAGAGAAGAGACCGGGTAACATTACCGTATTGTACTGTACTGTACCATACAGTACGATGTACTGTGGTATACTGTACAATGTAGTGTACAGTACTGTATAGTACTGTACTATTGTACTGTAATGCAATGCAGCAGCTTTCAGTACCATAGAGATCGACATAGTGGAGAGAAATTTACTACCAATAGTAAAAATTGTTCTACGGCCTCTACTCCCATCTTAGCACAGTAATAAATTGGAAATAAATAATAATAAACTGTACAATAAATTACAACAGTAAGTTGCTGTAGTTTCCAATTAGCGCTTGATCTGTGGCAGTCAGTAAATTGATGATGGACGAAGAAATTCTGAAAGGCAAATGCACTAGGATGTGCCCTTTATCGGAGCAGAGAAGGTACACACTAAACCCTAATAAGCTTACAGTTATCGAAGATTACCTCTATAGGCAAATCCAAGGACTACTAGAAGGCAAATCTACTAGTAGTCCTTGGTAAGTCGTAACAAGCAGTCGATTGCAATAAATTCAATTTTTTTACCTAATCACCTACACGTTTGTATCTTAATATTTTGTTGTACTATATCACTGGAATAATTGCAATTGGATTGTAAAGTCAATTCCAATCCAGTAACCGTACACAATACAGCAAATGCAGTATACATTTCTAATATCAGTGATATCATGATTTATAAAACATATTATGACTTTATTATTAAGTCCTTATACATATTCACCCAATCATAATCTTATACCCAAATCTACGAGTTGCCAAATGTTAAAATTTCTCTTTAAAAATCTCATGTTGCTATTGATACATTGTCATTAATTTAGGAGACAGGAACAGAATCGGTTGAGCGTTTTTGAAATTTTACCTATCACCACAAGGGGATCGTCTAGGTTGGACAACGTAATCGAACAGAAGCGTAAATCCAAACATTGACAGTATATATGTTATGCATGATAAAAGCATTAACGATATGACCTGCACTATAAAAAATTGGCAGTATACATGATATTTTTACTGTACTGTATAGAGTGCAATGCATTGTTAGGATTTAACAAACTTGTATTTCATTCATACATTATAATCATAAACTCCATCATTAAAAATTTGCAACGAAATACAGTAAAAATGTTAATACAAGGTAGCACAGTTGTGACGTTGTAACGCGATTTGTCATTTGTTCTCATATACGCGTAATATTCTCGTTAATACGGCGTATTACATATCCTGTTACCAGATTTATGCACTTTAATTAATTAATGTGTACTACACTTTTAGCATACGTAGAATTGTCTAAAAAGCAAAATTTGTGCATTCTTTATGTTGGCATCCGAATTCATAAGATCATGTACCATACGCATAGGATTACAATTCGTATAACTTGCTACTGTACACAAACTGTCTTATTAAAATGTCACTTCTTTATGGACGCGTATGTCTTAGTGCCCTAAATATTTAAACGCTATATATCCACAGTAATTAAACGTTATATTGTAAAGCAATAATTTAAAATAACACGTAACTTTAAATCAATTGCGTGTTTATATATTTCCTTACCTAGGCCGCGTGTAGATGAAAATAAGGCAGTTAAAGAATACTCTCGTCCAGCTGCTGGTAAAGAAATTGACCTAGAATTAATTCGTCCTGTTGAGGTTTTACTAAAAACCATCGAATATTTAATTAACAGGTATAGCGGATTGATGCTTTATTTTATAGACTCTATATTAGTATCATATGTAGATGTAATACAATTAAAACATCGCAATCATTTAGAATTGTATTCAACGCGAGTATACAGTATATCATTCCTGTAAAAATTGAATTCATAATAGTTGAAAATAGCTAAATCGAGTAGGATTGGTTCAAAAGTGGTACAAAAAGTTAACAAAGATCATTGTAATGTGCTAACTTCGCCCCAATTGTATGGAATTCATTCAATTTGACATACAAGGTAGCCGTCAATTTCAGATGACATTAAGCGAATCATTTTCTGAGATCACCCTTTGGAACTCGGTAGCTTTAGTGCCTAAATCACTAAATTTTTTTAGTAAGCTACGAATACAATACCATTCCAAAAGTTTAAAAGTATTTACCCTCCTATTGAAATCAATACTAGCAACTTAGCAACCTGTTAACGAATAATGAAGAGCTTATATTAGACTGTTCGCCTAAGTGTATTCCGTAAATACGTAGTCGTACGTTAATGTAATTCCTGTGTCCAGAACAAAATTAGTCACAACACTAGCTGCCACAGTGAATCAGTTAATGTATAATTTTATTCCTTAAAAAATTTACTATATCTTACATTATAGCCGTGTTGTTGTATACATCTACAGATCAGCTTTCACTACGCCGAATTTAGACAATGAAGTATAGGTCTTGTAACTCGCAATTAATTCAAATTATTAATTATTATCAAGCAATATTTAATTCTTCATGCGACTTCCGGACAGGTACTATATACTTTTGTATGCCCATCATGAGACCTAAACCTTAGTCATATTATTATAGAAATACTCCCGCGATAAAATTTAGGCCTGGTATATTTGCATTACGTAGCAGATCTGTACAGCTATCTCTCTATACCATAACCAAATTATATTGTAACTATACTATCTTATGACATACCAATATAAGTGTAGCATGTAGGCATGACAAGTCTTGGTCAGCAATCTATTCTTTCGTGAGCAATAGAATTAGAGCTATAAAGCAAGACCTTACAATTCAGGTATTAAAATTTTGTTGTCTACATGTTGCACTTTAAAGGCAACATGTAAAAGTGGATAGTGCCTGATCCTTTGGTTACAAGATGTCTAATAATAAAGCTTACGTTAAGTTACATCTTTTACCAATTAGAGGTGCAAATGCAATAAAGCAGTTCGCGTGCTCGAGTTGGCTGCCAGATTCTATTTATACTCAGAATCACGGTTAGTGATCTCGCTTGAAGTTTGATATTATTATAATACATACAAGAAAGTAATTTCAATTCATAAATATTTATTAAGTATGGCAGATACTTCCACAGAAGAGTTCGATCCAGTGCTGAATAGGGATCAGCTAGTTGATACAATGTACAAATTATTTGAACTTTATGCCAGAGAAGCGACAGACTGTAGTAATCGTGCGGAGTTCGAATCATACTATATATTATATAATCTGGGTGAGATATGTCATGCGTATATAAGTGTATGCAGATTTATACAGCAGAGAAATTTTTATAATAAACACGTATATTCTGTTACTAATATTACTGTAATTACAATGTAGGTGTAGAGCATATTAAGATGGAAATAACATTAAAAGCCATGCAATTCAGGTCACTGTAACTATATTGTTTTCGCCAATGTACTGTATTATAATTGGATTTTACAGGAATAATCCTAATTACGACATCATTAAATCTTACTAGTTTTATTATTTATATTTATTACAGTGAATCACCAATCTTTCAACATTCATTACTCATTTGTAAAGCAGCATGGCTCAAAAATTATGTTAGGTTTTTTAGAATGGTTAGCAAATCCACATACCTTTGCCAATGCGCTGTATCAAGGCACATCTATCAAATACGAAGGTCGAATCTTAAATTAGTAACCTCTATAACTCTATCGTTTCATGTAATGCTTTAAGTTAATTATCAGTACTTTAAGCTTCTAAAATTTCACCATTCTTATATTGCAATTAATAATAGGAATGCTATGCAAACAATGAGTATCGCCTACAGTAGTCACAAAAGCAAATTTCCGATCAAGTTAGTTAAACTTAAACTATAAAATTTTCGTTACTGTAGTATATTATTAAACATTTACTCTAAAAAATTCAATCAAGATGATAACGTGATCTATCTACTTTAAGAAAATTAACACAAATACTACAATTCAAGGACTATTCGTTAGCTGAAGAGTTTTCTACGGTTCACGGTAAGTAATATTGCGATTTCCTTATTTTAATATTATAAAATTATTACATACTGTAGATGTTAACTAATGTTGTCCTGTAATATTTGACATTACTGTAAAAGGACTGCGGTCAAATCATCACATAAGTGCTTTATATTTTAAAGAATTTCTGCATTGCTTAACGTCAGTTTACATTCTTGACATTTTGCGATTATAGGTTTCCAAGTTTCAAGCGATCAATTAATTTTTACAAAAAAGTCTTTGGTAACATCGCAGGTATTAAGGTCACTTTTATTAATTAACTATTTAAGGCGAAACAGAAGCATACATTGCGTTTGTATATTGGATTATTAAAGAACGCATAAAACTTTCAATACATTTTTTTATTTAAAACTTAAATCTCGAGTAATATGGCGTGTGTAACCATTGCGTCAAATTCTTAAATTTTATAGGACAGAAGATTTGGCACAATATTGTCTGCTAAGATTGATAGTAACATCGGTGCAATTATTGCACCTAGCTGACTCTGTTTGAATTTCTCAAAATTTCTAACGATATTTATGCTATAGTCTTGATACTGTATAATTTGTTTTTAAGGATAAGAATCGATTGTGTTAATTGACTAAAAAATTAGCGGATGATAGGTATAGGGGAATAGAAATGATGGCAGCTGAAAGCAAAGGCATGTTCTTATCAGGAGAAATTCTTTATGTGCAGTTATTAAGGCGATTATGCGGACTATTGTAATAAATTCTTTTTAGCGTTACTTTTGACGTAATTTATTTCCTATCTCGGATTTACATTTTACTACCGTGTATCATATTTTACGAAATATCTGAAAAACGTTGCGAGAAGCAGCAAATATAAGATAGAAATAATTGTATGCATCGATTTTGAGAATTATTTTAATTCTCTATTAGATGATTCAATAAACGATAATAATTCACTATATGAACGTGTATAAAAAAATTATATTTTACCGCGGTATTTGCAATGTAGGCTTCACGGCTGACTACATTGATACATTTATAATCCGAATAGGAACCGGTCTTCTTCTACCTTTGCCTAGAATGACCGATAGCATATTAGCTAATACATCGCCAAAGCTGTCTTTGCCCAAATAACAGAAAGTAATAGTCAATTGTAAATGTGTTACCGCACGTAATATTTTATACTGCGTTGACTACTTATTAATACCATATACATACTATTCCTAATTCACTAATTAAATTGAATGTCTATTTCAAAATCAGATCAATAATATGCGAACACAAACTAAATACAGGATAAACATTCCCGTCGTAGGCAATAGAGTGTATGCCTTGCTATTAACGTTATATTTTTCTTGGATCTGTGATATATCGTAAAGACCTTTATTTACATTTATGAGCATAGATACTTCATTTTCCGAATGTAATGATGATAAGTACTATACCCAGTATTTTTAAGCAATACTCTAGTATACAAAGCGAGTTCGATCGTGTTATTACCGTATAATTATACTATCAAAATGATCCGATCTATTTTAATATTAAAGAATAATCTATTTACACCTACCATTCCTAATAAATCACATAATTACCGATATCTATTTTTTTATTTTACTTAGTGATATTACTACAAGTCTTGTCTATTTGTTCATTTACCGCACCATCGGTAGGAATCCCATAATACAGCTAATACGTTGTTAGTCAATTGGATTCTTTCGAAATACTTATAATAATCGCTTTATGTAGCGTGGTAACTTTCACCATCCCATTAGGCATTGTTACATCGTTTACAGTTTACCATAATAATCTTGAAACTATCTGACAATTGATTTAGACGTCACTACAGCAGCGAATACTATTCGTTATCATAATTGAAAGGAAAAGAAGAGAAGAATAGGCTATAGAGCATCGCTACTTAGACGTGCGGATACATTTCATACGCTCGGATTTTAGTGCATTTTTAAAGAAAAACAAAATTATAATAAAATGAACTATCAATTTTCTACAGTATATTTCACTAGAGACTACCGTTATGTATTATATCGTCAACTGCTGATGGAAAAAATGATTTTTTAAGAAAATAAGTAAAAAAGAATATTTTCTATCACTTAATGATTTTATTGTGCTATTTTCAATGGATACAGACGTTGATGCTTACATTCGTACGTATATGTTTATATTATACTATACATATATATTTAGTATCCATAAACATGTACAGTATAATAGATAACATAAGCTAATTGAGCATGATCGTAAGTAACTGATTTACTGATCATATATAAGCAGTAGGGTATTATGCCACTAGTATTATAGTATGAATCCCATCTGCAGGAGTTTAATTATCTGGCCTATTATGATGTAAATATGTGTTTCCATGACGTCTGAGATCGTATCCTGCTTTTTCATTGTCTATAGTATACCTGGAATCTTTTGTATATTCGCATTTTGAAATAATCGAGAACTTTATCTTACACCCCCACTTATGTATAAAAAGTTCAGTAATTGTATACATACAGTCGTTATTTTTTCACTCTCTATTCCTGTTAGTTTTATTGCAACAGTAAACCAATACCAACTATCGCCAATTTTTTTTTCCATTTTAATCCATTTGTAACGTTCTTTACAGTAACAACCGCTTCGATACCGTCGTTCTGTGTTAAAATTATGACTCAATAGCAAGCAACAATATGATTTAAGCAACTATAAATAATATCAGCTAATATAGTACCTGCAGCTAGTAAGATTCTCTAATTAAACAACAAATACAACACTAAAAAGAAATCACATTAGACTATGGGAATACCGTTGACACGCAAAGTTTCTCAAAAAAGTGAATCTATAAATTACTTTGATGAATTTATATCAACTGAAATTCAGCAGTTATTGTATGAAAAAGCCAAAAAGATCTATCAAAAAAATATCAATAAAGACGATGATCCCCATTCAAATTTTGAACTAGGACGAATTAACCATTATGGTTTTGGAACTACTAAAAAAGATCTTTACAAAGCCCTTGAGTATTACGAAGTTGCAGCCAAGGAAAATCACCCTGCAGCTCAATATTTATTATGCAATATTCATACCGATGAAGCTATAAGGAGCAGTAAAAATATCAATCGTAAAGATTTGTTAAAAATGCAGGTTGACAATTATCTTAAATCTGCGTCACAATCAAAAAATTACTGCAACGCTGCCGAAGAATTCTGGAAATTATACCAAACAACAAGAAAATGGCAAGAAAGAGTACAATATGTTGTACACCAGTCCATTGATCGAGTTAAAAAATCAAGTTATAGTCATGCAGACGAATTAGGTGAATTTTATAATCAATTGGGTTATTTAACGTACGTGTTAGGACCGGTCGATCACGATCTTGACGCTGAACAGTGTTTTGTTATGGCCGGTCGTCTATCTAACGCCGCTGCGTTTTGGAATATCGCTAATTTAATCGACGATAGCAATAACAATGATGCACGCCAAAATAATAACAGCCATATTAATAACTCCACCGATAATAGCACACCACATGTTCGTGACTATGAGTTCACATATAAAGCTGCCGTCGCTGGTCATCATGAAGCGCAATTTCGGCTAGCCATAGACAATCATTATAATGAAGAAGTAGGCAAAGAAAGAGAATGTAAAAAGGCTTATGATTATTTACTCAAATCGTCAAAGTATTCATTTTCTAGCACATTATACTATCTAGGTTTATTTCATTTGTGTGGCATGGGTAATACACCACAGAACTATACGACAGCGATAGAATATTTTGAGCAAGCTGTTGTTTCGGCTGATTATGTAGGTGGTATTGGATGCAAGTCAGCCAGTATATGTTTAGGATTTATGCATGAAAAAGGTTGGGGCGTTGAAGTAAATTATACGACTGCTAGCCATTACTTAGCAACTGCCGCAGAATTACAACATGATGAAGCCTGTATTCGTTTGGCCAAATTAATAGAGAAAGATAAAATTAAATCAAAGGAGAAAAAAGACGCTATTCCATTTTATGACATGATATGCCAATCGACTAATTTAGAAGCATCGTGTTATGCCAATTACCGCTTGGGTAAATTATACATGAATCATTATCAGCACTTGCAAGTAGACAAAGACAAACATCTTGAATACTTGCAAAATTTTCTAACTATTGCTGAGGATCAATTGCAGTATAAGTCACCACGTGTTTGCTATCATTTAGGCATTATTCATCAACATGGTTACGGTAATATTGAAATGGATCATGTTAAGGCTTCCGATTTTTACCAAATTACTATAAGTCAAGCTGAAAAATACTATAGATATATTCCAATCTACTACAGTAAGAAAGCCAGAAAAAGATTGGAAAAATTGAAAACTGTCAAACCTGATTGTTTCGATTCTAGCAATAAGGATATTCACGTTAACATCGATGACTAAATCGTAAAGCAGCGCGGTACGTTAGTATGATTATCGTTACATAATTGAAGGATATAGTATGATTAGAGAACTGTAATTGAAATTAGGGATACATAGCCAACTGATAAATTAATTTAAAAGTTACAATGAAGTCAAGGATATTTCGATTCCAAGCTACTACTCAATGGAGCACTGATTAGAATTGGTTTAAATATTCTCTTCTCGTCGGCACTGTAACAGAGTATTTGTGTTTGTATATATGAGTATATACTAATGTATATGCACATATTCGTATATACGGTATATACCGTAAAATTAAAGATTTTAAATAATACATCTGGATCTCTCTACGCACGTCTTTTTGGCCTATCTTTCCTAAGTATGGCCGAAATGGCGCTAATATTGTGAGTAGTGTATGACAAGCAAATTTTACAATATATTTGCATCCAAACTAGCAAGACTGATGATACTTTGGATTTGATCACATTCAACAATCGTGTATTCTACAGTATTTATTATTTATTGTATGCAACAGTATAGTACATATTGATAATAATAATATAGCGTGCAGTAGCGATGTTATATAAAGACTATACAGGATCTCTAATTATAATAAGCATTTCCAGTATAGTTCTGTTCAGTGCACATGTTCAAAAGTTTGCTCTAACGATGCTTGATTAACTTTCGACGACGGGATTATATATTGTTATTATTTATCGAATTTTGAACCTATAGCTGATATCTATTGCCAATTACATAATTATTGTACTGCAATTTGCTTACGTTGGTTTTTAGACTTATTCGACTTCATTTTGTAGTAATAGATGTTTAATATATATAGACTGGTTCGATCTCGTTTCAAATTCAAATTGCAATCCTTCTTTTAACCGATTTTGATCTCAGTTTGCGAGTTGGGTCGAGGTTTTTATTTATCAAATATTTATTATGGTACTGCGATACCTAGAATCTAGCAATCGAAGTCGAAAGTTAACCTGGAGGCTACGTAAATACGTATTTGTTTTGTCAAATGAAAGTGGTTTACTATTAATATCAATATCTGTCGTTAATACAGTGGTAGATAAAAAAAAATGAGCTGATTTACGCGTTTATCATATGTAATATCCTATGAAGTTCTGATTTTTATTTATTATTATGACGAGACCGATTTAGTGCGTACATTATTGGTCAAACTGGCGTTATTACTATCGATCTAGCTATGATGCTCTAAAGGAGGCGTTGCATTTTCGGAGTTCCGTGCACAGTATAATGATGGTGTCCAGGATATTTCATCAGTTACAGTATGGTTAAACGTTACTGATTAAAGCGCACATACAGTATATAATATTACATAAAATGCAATCAAGTATACGTATCCTATTCATACGCAGAACCTAATTTAATTCAAGCTATTAGCTAGATATGATTGTGATATTTCGAGAATCATTGATTTGCAAATCAAGCTCTAAGAAAATGCAAGAGACTCGTCATTTACAATAACTATAAAGAATGATGAAAGTAACATATGTCATATTGTTATCGTAGAATTATCACAGTAAATTATTATCCTTATTAAGATTAGTATTGTGCAAAGAATTAGCTGTAACCACTGCATTTTTGAATCTCTTAGTCAAGCAGTTATTAAGGTAAGTCTGCATAAGAATCACAATGGTATCATCGGACGATTTAAGAATAGAGACTTAAAATCTTATTCTAACCTTATAGAATATATTGCCAAACGTACTGTGCGTATGTTAGTCGAGTAGGAGCGTAAGAATATTTGAATAATTGTTAAAATTAGTTTATTAGAGCAGTTTTTAGCTTTAAGGATAATAGACAGTTAATTTAATTTTTAAGCCGGGATTTAATATGTAAATGTAGAATAACTACAACTAAATTTTTCATTGCTTGATACTATTGATACGATAAGAGACGTAAGTACACTGTAGGTAGATCTTGCGTCACTTACCCAATGCTGTTCAATATGCCTGTAACTGTTGTCTCGTGGAGATATATTAAAAAAATATAGTCAAAAATTTAACGACGATCTTACAATGTAATCCATAGATGAGCTAGTCCGCTTAAATGTATTATATATCCTTAAGTGACAAGGCATTTTAATACTAATGACAAAAAGAATGTGCGGTGCAATTAGATACAAAGTTGGTCAGATCTTTAAAGTATTCGTAGTACTAGTAATGCGAACAAAGATTCCTTGCGGTTATTTACTTTCGATATTCTATATCACACATGTAAATATTACTGCCAAAGGAAAATCGTGTATAATAAAATAAGTACAGTTTACTACATTGACAGTTAATAGCTATCACACAGATATCCCGTAAGCCTTTATGACTCCTTCCATAATCCTTATGGTGTCCAAGTTTGAAAAATCTAGTTTTCACATATAACAGTGCAGTATTGCACATTTTATATTTAATGCGCTCTTTAGCCAAAGAAATTCGGCGAATTCGTTTTCGAAGTACCTTATCATGTATTCGGATACTGGTATACGAATACATTGTACCAGTTAAGAGTAGCTTAGAGATAGAGTACAGACTACTGCTACTGCCCAATAAAGATTTATTCTTCAAAGTTGTAATCAATTTGCTATATACTCGTAGAACTGGGAATATTACTACTGTATAGTACACCAATATCAATGTAAATATACGATGTATAATCATAGATCAAAGGTTAGAAGTTAGAACTCTTTTCTGTCTTGTTCGATGGTATACGGATTTAAAGGCGATGTACAAAGCACATCAAGATGTCCAACTATCTAAATTCAGTGATCGTCAAGTAAAAATTACATTAACTGTTTTAAATTTTGAAGTAGTGCCGTACGTATATAGTTAAATTCAGTCATAAAAGGTGAGCAATATCATAGACGGGCCCAAATAAAGATTATTAAGAATATCGGTCACTCCTTGAAAATATCCATTTTTCTTGATTGATTATATACTGTAATTGTTATTGGTGTCTTGTACGTTGATTCTCATCTCCCAATATTATGCTGTACCAATTTACAAGCACAACGCTAACAGATGATTATCGTACTTTTATCATTTATTACAACTACCATACCACCGACAGAAAGACACTTTCTTAAATAAATATAATTATCATTATCGTACTTTTATCATTTATTACAACTATCATACCACCGGCAGAAAGACACTTTCTTATACTGTATATAACTATCGTTGGTGTCTTGTACGTTGATTCTCATCTTCTAATGTTATGCCGCACCAATGTACAAGTATAACGCTAACAGATGATTATCGTACTTTTTTTATTCTTCACAACAATAAAACCTATTTTTTTTCCCCCGTACGCCACCGAACTCCAGGCATATTTAGAGATATCTCTATGTATAAGATGCCGTAATGTATGTTGTTCGAGAAATCATGATATCTGATTAAACCGTCTTCAAGCATACGGAACTTTCAAATAGAAAGGGTCTAGTCAACATTGTATACCTAGCAATATTAAACCGTCAGGAAAGCGACGGGAGTTTGCACTAGTTACTATAAAATAAAAAAATATTGTAGTTGTAAAATTTTAACCTATTGTAAAGTAATACAATCCAACTACAGAATTTTAATCTACTGTATAATGCTCAGCGAATAATAATAAAGTGGACTAGTTGTGACTAAGGATTGCATCCGGGTTTTCATAGCCGAGTAACAAAATTGGGACGGGTTGCAAACCCGAGTTCAAAGTTGTTCATCATTTCTATTCTCAGCAGAGTCTGGTCCGGAGACCATGAAGACTGTTGTGTTATTGCTATGGAGAGTTAATACTAACAACCGTGTTGAAGCTTCGTCCTGCTCTCCATCAACATGGGAGACAAGAGATTGTAGGCGTAGTTGAAGTTATTGTCAAAGTAACAACTAACTCCTACTCTCTCTCTTTACTGTAAGGAAAAGCGGCGGCTTATATACGTACGCCGTTGACACTTACAACACATTCTAATTACAAATCGAACTACTATAGCGTAGTATCGAATAAAGACCACTTTGTACATAAGACTGCATTATTTGCAGTAGTATCCATGTGCACTGCACAAATTAAAAAAGGACCATATCATTCAAAAGAAACAAATTTGGGACTACGCCATTACAGGAAAATAGGTACTGTATAGGAAGGACCTAATTATGAATTTCTCAATATAAGGGAATTATAAGGTACAGTACAGTTGCGTAACTATGAATTTTCTCAATACTGTACAGTATAAGGGAATTATACGGTAAGGTACTGACTGTACAGTACTGTACAGTACAGTAATTACAAATCGAACCAATACAGTACACTAGTATAGCTTAGTATTGTACACTGTACAACTTAGTATTGTACACTGTACTGTACAGTGTACAGTGCAGATCCTTAGAGGCTCTAGTACTGTACTGTACACTGTACAGTCTGTAATCAGTGTGATGGCACTGTTTTCATTCAAGGTCCCTTTAAGTCGCGCAGCCGCTGTCGCAATTGCTCTTAGACTTGTTATTGCCGTATGGAAACAATACAATTTATACGATCAGTATTGAAGTACAAAATTTGGCGGGTGATGTAAAATGGAAAGGCTGCAAAGCGATTCTGAGAACTTTCTTCAATTTCTTATAAGGTACAATAAAATGATGGTCTATCATTTCATTTCTCAAATCTTGCTTATATTTTATTATAGTAGGACTAAATACATACTACTGAAGGATATTTACATTACTCAAATGCAGTACTGTGAGACAGTATAGTTTTTTTAGCTTCTGTAATTGTGTAAGATAGGAGGAGTAAGCGTATACAGAAGCACTTTACGATGTTCGTTATTAAAAGAAGAAGGATATAAAGAAGCAATTTTACTAAACTGTGTGCCATACATACAACTGAAGGATATTTACTTAAATGCAGTACTGTGAGACAGTATAGTTGTTTTAGCTTCTGTAATTGTGTAAGATAGGAGTAAGCGTATACAGAAGCACTTTGCGATGTTCGTATTAAAAGAAGAAGAAGAATATAAAGAAGCAATTTTACTAAACTGTGTGCCATACAATCCATGACTAAATTACTTTTATTTTTTTCTGAGGTAGTTTGAAAGCCGAAGATTTACGACATGAGTCGAGAAATAGCTTTCAGATTTTCCCGACCCAATTCAAGGTACAGCAGTCAACTAGCATAGACATAACTGCTTCGTGCGCACAACGATATTTAATTTCGCTGAATCTTCATTCCAAAATTGCTTCGCCCAATACATTATTTATTATTCACTATAAGTACACTAGGATCTTATAAAATATAATATTTATTGTAATATATAACGTAGGATTTATCAACCCCAATAAAGTGATCAATTAGTTATGCATGTGCAGTTGTAAATGCATGCATCGTACTGTAAAAGGATAGCTAGTGGAAAGACAAAGGTGAGATAAAATTAAATCCGCCAACTATTGCAGAAATCGAGTAGTTAACGCCTCAATGCTACATTATTCAGTAATATTGAAATAGCAGGCTAGGAGTTGGGCAACTCTCTCAATTCTTACTAGTGTTACAGGGCGCAAAAATAGCGTTTTCGACCTTATGTTTACGAGAATAGTGAACTTGCTGATGCATGATGTAATTAGAAAATTTTCCTCTCATCCAGCATTTTACTACATGTAAATGTGTAAGGTATTAGAATATTTGTATCGTACGCGGAACGTATAACCGTTTAACATTGCATGAAGTCTGCAACTCTACATTACTTAATAAATAATATTGTACGATGTAATAGATAGAAATACTATCCATTCATCTGAGTGGACCATAATTTGACTGTATCCGGTTTACAACGGCTATTGCTAAGCTAGATTATTTAACTTATACTTTGTATTGTATAAACATCCTATATGGCACTGATATGCCAGAATGTCTGTATAATTACAGTCAGAGACTTTTTACAAATTTCCTCTTAGAAGTCCTCGCCTGGAGCAGTATATATATATATATGTACTATTAGAGTAACAGGATATTTCGATACGTCAGATATAAATTTTGTGATAATTATTTCTTTTTTCTTCCTAGGTATAACTTATATATACTGTATAGTATACCTGTAGATAATGTCAAAACGAATTATAATAATATTCTCGGTTAATTTAATTATTTTAACTTTAAAGGAAATTTGCAACGTTTATATGATACCAGAGGGTGTAAACCATCCTAAAGTTAATTTGGCTTCGGGTAAAAGTGGATTTTATCTCGTAACTGGATATTCGCGAACTGTTAGTACTTACAGTAAATTTTTGGCTTATAGTGCGATATATGTACTTTAATTAAATTATCTCAAGAATGGCATTACTGAGAGTGATAGACTGATAGGTATCAATAGAGAATGTTGCATAGTGTTGCGCTTATTATAATGTAATATTTATTTTCAATTTAGGCATTAATTCAAGATGAAGTATCGTCAGTAAATGATCAAAATCAGTTCAATAACAGTTACGAATCTACGTCCTTCGAAGAAGAAGACGGTGAAGAATATCCTGTCTCATTGACCCTGACGGCAGAAAGATTCGTTCGCATAGGTCCAGCAAATGATGCCCTTGGCCAAATGATCAATGTTTTCGAGGTTAAGTATCTAAGCTTAAAAATGAAGTTAACGCCTTATACTTTAGAACACTTAATATTTTCGTGATGTTACTGATAAGAAATACCGTGTTATTGACTAAACCATTTTTAAAATATTTTTATTTTTTATTTTTATAACTGTCTAGACATTTCACTCAGATAACTTACATGAAGTTGTTTCATGGAATATTGCAGCTGATTCTATGATCCCACTACCATATGCTAGCGCTAGGTAAGAACGTTAGTTCAATTTATTTTTTTTCTTGTATTACTAGTTAGATATGAGAAAATCGAAATGGTATGTCATCGTGGTATTTCTTGCTATTGTTGCAGGCAACTGTTATCGTATTTTGCGTTATCTCATACTAGCCCTGTCAGAAATGGGCAAACGATAGCAAAACCCTGCTGGATTTTAACTACGAAGAATGGTGCTTCTATATACTTAGGAATCGTGACTTCCGTACAGGATAGTTGTAAGATACCCATAATTTCCATAGATTAAAATGTTATACCAATAGGATTGAATCATTACAGTCTCTACTTTTTCTAATGATAGTTTTAAATATCTAATTCGTTTCATAAACCGATTGAACTCACAGTCACAAAGCTGTCGACATGGACCGTTTCGACTGAAGGTGATTGATACTATTAAACTCTATATTTTAAGGAGAGATTATTTATTCCGCTAAAAATGTATTAGCTTAAATTAGTATGAATGGTTGTGTTACACAGAAAAATTATATAAGCGAAGTGATGTACCAAAATTAGAGAATCGTCTTACAGCTAGAGGAATGACGGCCGAATCTAAAGTACGATCCCGCCAAAAATTGGCAAATATCAGCATTAAAATTCTTATAAACAATTCTTAATTCTGAGCTAACTTTGTATTAGATGAAAGCGCAAGGATATGCACAGTATCGACTACTTAGCCCGATTAGTGAGGTAAGATTTAATTCAGATACTTGCTAAAGAACCACATGGGCATTTAATTTATGTTACTTACAACTATCGAATTTAGTGTCATGTTTCACTTTCAACAATTAATGATATTTGTTTATGTAACAGGACTCCAAGTTGAAGAGTAGTTTAACGCTGGAGTTAGTATGGCAAGGCTTAAATACATTAATTGAAAAACCGGCCTTGATGTCCGATGCAATCCTAGTAAGGTTATCCTTTTAATGCGGTATTTGCTTTATATTTGCAGGATACTAAACATGTTATTATGTGCCTAGACTATTAAAGGGTTCCCAGGCGATCCTAGATCTCCAATAAACTGGGCTTACAAAGAGTTCGAAATTCTTGAAGTAACAACTTATAACTTAATAACTTTCAAGTTAGACCATGTTGTTTACATCTACATCGTTTTTTACCTGATTATAATATTTCTGTATCAGAAATATTGGATGTATTCTAACAAAGATGTAGAAATATGGCCGACTCATTGTGGTTACAAGGTCGACGTAATGTCGTCGGTAAAATCATTCCTTCAAGGTGCGTAGGATGTTAATGTTTATAATTATCCAGTTAAGACAAGATTGATTCATATTTCTCCTAAAATATTCAAAAGCAGCACTAAGATAAACTTGGTGTTTGATGACAACATATGTACAAGTAAATTTCTTTCTCTTTACTCTTCAGATCCAAGCAAACCTATTCAAATTTCATCCAATGATGAAGTATGTCGTAGTTAAAATATGCAGTACTTTTTAGACATTTATTTAATTATTATGATTGGCAATAATACGTATATTATTTGTTTTCTAGTTTCTTGATAAATCAGATTCCTGCTTGGACTCTTCAATTTCATCGTATATAATATGTCCTCGATCTGATTTTGACTTCGTTGATAAAATATGGATAATTTTAAAATGTATGCCTTATTAGTCTCGAGACGTACCTGTAATAGACAGATGCTAACTTAACATCCATGATTGCTAAAATAGATACGAACATACGTATACATGCAAGCTCAGTATTATGTATATAATTTACTACGTTACTGCGAAGTGTTGCGATGTATCCTGTCATTTCTAATGCAGTCATTTGCTAATTAGATTGTAATAACCTAAATGAACTTACCGAGGCAGTTTCCTACATTGCCCAAAAACTTGCAGACGGAAGATTATTGCCACAGGTAGCGATGAGCTATTACATTTCGTAAAATATGCAGTTTTAATTAAATAACATCGAAAGAGTTTATTGTATTTTTTTGGATTAGCTTGACCCGTTGCATCAAAATTCGCTAGCCACTGCAATTGGAAGATTACTAGAAATAACTCTAACTAATTTGGTATTGTAAAATATTTATTAAAAAATACGATAATCTGTGCTTCCATTAGATTTCATTAAAGTTTCACTTTAAATTTAAAGTCTGGACTAATTAAGGATAAAAATGAAACGAATTTCAAATTCAATTGGTAAGGGTATCTAATTGATTCAATAGCAAAGTGAAATTACTTCGCCTTGTATATATATTGGTTATCTTGGATTAAAATATATAATTACATTATATTAGGCCTGGAGATAAACGACCTATTGATTGTTTAGTAGAAATTGGTTTGGACAAACTCAGAAAAGATTATCTGAATTATATAGCGGGTAATAAGTTATTAGTATTATAAGGTTATTTATTAAAGAACCAATTAAGGTTAGTACCTAAATGTAACCATGAAAGTTTACAGATATGTTTTATTAAACTATCTGAAGACATCTCAACAGTGAGGATGATGCAGCAATTGGATGATTATTTGCAGTATGGTGGAAATATGGAAGATAAATTACAGTATCTAAAGAAAATGCATTCAATCCTTGATATGTTAGCTATCGTTAAAACTCAACTAAACCCAAGTGGATCTATAATCGAAAAGCTGCTAAAGTTTGTAGATGATAGTGAATTAGGTGGTTTAAGCGATACATTTTAATAAGATAGGTAAAATATTTATATTTTTTTAAACTTATTAGAGCCGCACTTCAATATTACAAGGATAGCCATCAGTTAATGGCTTTCGCTCTTTCATTGCCAGCATTTTGTGACGGAAAAAGTATAGTGCCTGCGTAAGATGATAACATAGTCTTGTTGTTATTACTAAAATTGTCGTGATTATGAATTCGTAGTACCTTTTTTTACATTGCGATAGTGATGAACCGTACATATGGACTATGTCTGCTTCGAACGAAATGCCAAATTTTAATGTTTCAGCGATTGCTCATAGTTTCAATGTTCATGAAGGTAAACTTTTTGATTTCAGTACTTTGCAATCTTTAAAGATAATATTTTACGATTTAATTTCTGAAAAGAATTTAATTTATTTATTTGTCTACAATAAAAATAGGAACTGACCATCAGGATAATACAAGTAACAGCGAGCTTTCAACATCATATTTAATATCATCAAGTGAATGTGACGAATTCAGTTTATGAGAACTATAAAGGGTTCCGGAGAAAGTTTTATTAACAAATGACAATAAGATCTATCCCTGATGTATATATATATACCTTGCGCCTGCAATATTTTACTATATTTTGCATAAGTAGTTGACACCCCTTCAATGTAGTGTCAACAATGTGGGTATTTGAAGTATATAAAAGATATTACATTTCATTCTACGCATATAAATAAGTAAATTGAATAAAGAAAATCAAAAATGTTCAATCGTAATATTTCTATGTATCGTCCAAGTATCGATCTTTTTACAGTATTTTATAAATTTATGATTTATCTTTAGTGTTTTAAACTGTTGTTTGTTTACTTTCTTTTTTTGCTAGCGTTAAATTCATAATTTTAGTAAGTCTTTTTTCGGCCTTCTTTCCGTAATATCTATCTAATATATCATAAACCTTAGCAGCTGCTTCTTTCGCCAATGAATAATATTTAGCTGCTTGAGAATAATCTACATCAGTATTATATCCATTTTCGTAAATGATTCCCAAGTGATAGTAACGATAGGAACGTGTATCCTTACAAACAGACGATTTCAGTAAGTGTAATGCTTGAGTAAAGTACTCAGTAGCTTTCTCTTGATTGTAAATTTTATGATAGCGTTTGTTCGAGTATATTTTTCCAAGTCTAAGTCTGGCATAATAAGACGACGTATCTTCCACGTTCTCCCCAGCACCTATGCTGTATAATTTAATCGCGATATCTAACTCGCAACAAGAAATTTTCCTTTTTTCTATTAGTTTGGCTAAATCATTAAATGAATGCTTATTTCCTGATTTTGCTGCCATAGCGTAATAATGAGACGCCATCGTAAAGTCTATTGTCATACCTAGCCCCTTGGTATACATAAAAGCCAACCAACTACAAGCTGAACTATTTCCGATGCCAAATAGGTAATCGGAGGAAACAGCAGCAAGTTGAAAGTATTGCACTGCAAGGGCATAATTTTGACTTACACCGGTACCTAACAAATGACCATAGCCAATCCAGAATAGGGTACTAGCAAAAGGATATTGCAATGATTGCTTCATATACTTCAAAGCCTTTGTACACTGTTCTTCCATACCAACTAATGATGAAAATAGATACTCTCCTAACCAAAATTGAGCTCTAACATGGTTGCTATCAGCTGCTTGATACATGAGTTGAAGTTTTTTTTCCTCATCTTTGTTTACACCAAGACCATTGTGGTATACTAATGCAGCCAGATTCCAATAGGCATCAGCACTACCAAGACGACATGCCGATTCCAAGCCGTCTATTGCAGTCTTATAGCCGCTATCATCTGTACTTAGTTGTAGGGCAATGTAACTGACCTGATTCATGAGTTTGCCTAATTGGAGAATATCTTGGTAATCTTTCTGGGAAATTCTATCTAGCAAACGTGCCCTTTCTGCCATAACAGCCTTACGCCAAGCTACTGAAGCATTATAATTACTCCATAACTCGATTCCAGAGTTAGAATAGACTAGAGCCTGAGAGGAAGATTCTATATACCAATGTACTTTGATATCAATTAATTCACTTTCACTAACAACATTGGCAAATTGAGCAGATGGTTGGCTTCCATAAAGCTGACAGAGATTGTACATAGCTCTAGCATGACCCAGTTTAGCTGCATTATCAAGTAACTGCTTAGCTTTATGTAAATCCTTTTCGCACTTGCCGAGACCTTGTTGATATAGGCAACCTAGCTGAAATAAACTATGGGAATCGCGTTCCTTCTCACAATAGTTCATCAATTTATTATATAGCTCATTTTCCAATCTCTTGGACAGGAAAGGTTGCAAAAGTAATCGTTGGTAATCCTCTAATTTGCCTGGCTGGCTTGCATCCATCATAATGTACTGTCTATAATACAAGTATAATTGAGTACGTCGATTGTTTTACTTGCTGATGTTAAACAATAAATAGCACCTGCACACTAACGTACTTACACAATCTAACTATGTGTATAAACAACAATCGCTATAGGAAAGAAAGCTATCAAGATTACTTACATCAGATCCAATTAATCGCCGTAGTTTTAAACAGAATAATCACCAAGATGAAATCGTCCAGCCTCGAAATCGCCCTTTGAAGCTGGATGTCCTCGATGGCAGCTCTGCAGGTACTGTACAGCGTACAGTACTAAGCATGGTACCCCTCAAGGTGGGCACCGCCTGTACTCAAATAGGTACAAGACCTAGGAATAAGTAGTCCCGACTGAGTACATACCCTCTGATACAAGATCTACAGTACAGTACTCGGTCTGGTCAAGTCAAGTCACTAGCTGTAGCGGTAGTCTGTCTGCTGGCTCACTTTGGCTGAACTACTGTATTATACAACTATAGTATCTTGTATACTACTACCTGTAGTATCGGACAGTAGAGTATGTACCATTGTACAGTACGTCATTACGAACAATCCGGGCTACAGTACAATGTATACTGTACTGTACTGTACACGTGGACTATACAATGTCTCTATCAATCATCAATTTCTCTACTGCGCTGTATGGGCTGTCGCTCTTCACCTTAATCATACAGTACTTAAGGAGAAAGTCTACAGTACAATTCACACTAAACACAGTGCATAAAACTAGACCATCGTTGCTATGGCTACTAGAGACCAGGGCAAACGGACGTTTACGATCAGAATACACCAAGCAAATACGGAGTAATCGATACTAACAGTGGTAAATATTGAAACATTTGAATAAGGGATGATTTATGGCTAATGCCCGTACTAAAATCAAGGTATAGAAGATAGTAATCGATTTTTTTAAATTAAAATATCTATCTACAGAAGTGTCCAAATAAAATTAGAAGCCGATAGTTTAAATTTTACATGCATAGTCTTATGCGAGTAAATGTATGCATCATACAGTCTAGCTCCAAATTTCGTTACTCATTATCGTTTCGTGTATGTGTTATAGATAGGAATAGGCACAGGGTAAGTTATCGGTAACTACAAAGTGATGTATTGATTGTACTCAATCTTTCTCCTATGGCGACTATACGTAAAATGTATTCTTACTATAACGATAACATCTGGATAAAAGTTAATTTATTTATTTATACTGTAGAGCAGCACGAAAAGATAATGAAATTTAATGTATCACTCATGTCACTATGATTAGGATATACACGTCGCGTAGTCTCTGTCTCTAGAAATTTTATTATTTTTGCCAATCTGGTTTAATCTACCTATGTTTAAAACTGCTCATATTTTATTGCAATCGTAGGACATTTAAAACATAGACCATATTATATATATTGGTGTGTATAATATATCATAGCGAAAATGCCATCTGTAAAACCGAATAAGAAGGAAAGGCCCAAGTCTACCGGTAGAATTAATATTTATAGGATATTGAATAAATAAGTACAGGAATGATAGAATTATATCTTTCAAGCACTTGTTGAGTAAAAATTTGGGTAGTAGCGTAAAAAAGTAACTACATGCACATTGCACAGTATACGTATGTCAAAATTTTTGAGTACGTTAAAAAAACAATAGTTAAAATTTATTTTTTAAATCAGGAATTAAAATTATCGATTAGAAATTATTTCTAACATATTAAATGAATATTACAACATAGATAAAATGAAATCTCGTCCGAAACGTGATTTGACACCGGACAAGGTAGCTACACCGCCAGATAGTACTGGACAAGGTGCCCCAACCAATAACAGCACTTTAACTGAAGACAAACCGTTACCTCAATTCAGTACAACTAGCTATTCAAATAATAATCAAAAGATCGGTCATAACACAGTTAATAGCCTTGATCCGCTTATTATCAAAGATGAGGATCTATTTAAGGTAGGAATGATGTTTGATTTGTCAAAGTATTATTGTGATATTAATAGGTTAGCAAATATATCTTATGTCATATTAATGCGTATGGGTATTGACAATAATCTTAGATACATCAACCGAAAGAGGATAAATCAGCAACTTCGAAGCCTACAGTAACATATAAGATTCGGAAGCAACCAGCGGATAATGTTATAACCAATACAGGGGTTGATACGAAAACTAAATGGTCTGTTTTTGAATCGCGCATTATTCGTAACTAAAGATCTTTCTAAAAAATATTGCGACATTAACTATATTTAACTTTCTTATAAATAGTATATACGTAGCGAAGGTTACCGCATCGGAAGCTACAGAATCTGCAGTGATGCTGAGTATGGATGGTAAGGATTTTATTTATCAACTATTATCAACTATCTTAAAGCTATTAATATCGTTACATTATATATATGATGTATTATGTACATTCCATCTAATGATAGCATCGAAAGAGCCTTTACACTCTGGTCCAAGGCTAGATAGAAAAGGACAACTAATACCTCACAGCATTCTCGGTTCCATTTCTGATTTTAATTCGACTTCATTAAAAAAGCAGCAGCAAGTAAGATTTACTTATTTTTATAAGAGCACTTACAAAGGATCAATCATAAACTTCTTACGAATTTTAATATCATTATCTATCAACATACATGTAAATATATTATATATAGCTATTAATATATCCTTTTTTTTAGCCATTAAAATCACCTGAAGTATACGATCTCGTAAGTAAACTTATCATGGATGCTAACGATCGTTGAATTATATACGAATATGCTGTAAAATTGCTTTATTAAAATAGATAATTGAATCACCGGTTCAACATACGAGTGATAGTGATACTGCTGGAAATAATAATATTACAATGTCAAAAAGTGTAAGAAAATTTTATTATTTCTAAATATCACGATATTAATCGCTATAATAAAAACATTTTAAACCGTTAATACTTCAATTATTAATTCAGGCAAATGAAGAAGCTGCTCTAGATAATTGGAAAAGGCATATGAGATACCGAAAATCACAACAGCAGTATTTATCTAGTACGTTATTGGTTAAACATCGCTTTTGTTATATCTAATATTGTCATACAATATATGGAATTACTTAAAACTAAAAATAAGCTTTGAAGAAATCGAAATAATGCATTTAAACAAAAAGTGGTACAGAGTTTTGAGGATAGAAATATGTTCCAGAACTGCAATCTTTACAAAGTGAAACAGAATAGTAGTAGGACAAAATTAAATCTTCATAAAGCTGAGAGCAAAAGTGTAACAAGATAGCTCATATGTAAACATACATAACGTTCATTATGTTTAAAAAATAACTTTATACTAGATTTTATTATATTCCAGGGAATAAATTATCATTTTTATGAGTAAGGTTAAATTCAGAATCCGTTATGATTTAAATTATAGATTACTTTTCATCTGAGTTAGATCAATTTAACGTTGTGCAAGTAAAAATAGTTTGGCACACGATTGATTTAAACTAAATGATATTAAAATTATATAGAACTAGTTGATTCTCTATTTCGTTGCTAATCCAATATAACTTATAACCGATGCTTAACTTAGAAAATATTTTAATGTTATGCAAACACGCAATTATTATATATCATATTCTGTGATCTAACCCAGTTAATAAGTACTACCTTGGTACCGGTACTTTATAATCACTTCCAGTAATCAAAGTTTGTTTAATAATATAGACTTACGAATCATGCAATAATACAGTATGTAGCACTATCATTGAACTGTGTAAAATAATTTGTAATCCTATAATGCAGTTTATTGACTAGTTTACTAATTACTTAAGTAGAAACATATAAGATAGGTATTATATTAGGACTGTAGACGAATAACATACATCAGATTAGTGAAATAATAATTGTTTTTATTTAATTTCAAAATCTAGAAATACTGGAAACTAATCCAGCCATGTTAGTCATGAATCAAAGCGAAGATTATCGTAAAAACCAAGAAGAAAGGTAATCTTACGACCGATAGACTGTAAAGATGACGAAGCTTTTGATTGCAGTATCAACAATAACTGCTTTATTCAGCGATCTATTAACGATGATTTCACTGAATTATTTATTAATTTACGCTACTGTCTCATAATTAGAGAAATTATCGATTTAGCAATACCGACGATGGATAAAGGCAAAGGATGTTAGTTATACTCTAGCAAGACGTTGACAAATGCTTTTACCTACTAGCTAAGTTGAGTATACAGTTTCGAATTGACTGGCATTATTTATTACAAATTTAGATCGTGTAGGTAGTGAGTTTTGGATGCAACCTGACCGACTTGGCAACGAAGATAACGGCATAAGGTAAACATCATGGTCAAATGATATTTTAATACGATACTATGCTGAAAAGGATTGCTACAAGCTTACATAATAAAACTCAAAAAGTTGATCTACACAAATTGCTAGAATTAAAATTACGTAATATTATCGCTAAATTTTAAATTGCGCTGGGTCCTTTAATTTAATAATAAAAAATTGAAATAGAAAGGCGATCAAATTATAGCTACAATTATCGATCGGCTGCAAGCTACGCTAGATTACTAAACGAAATCAAATATATTGCTACTTCAAAGTTTAACTTTAGGTAAAAGTCAACGAGGCCAAAGAGTTCCTGTTGAACATATCGATAAACATCCGTTAATCAAAGAGGAAATGGGTATAGTTACACAGTTTTTTCATCATTTAAGTAGTGCCTTAAATTAATAAAAGCAGCTATAAGTTTATACTGAATGAACTTATCACCATGACTCTGCATAGGCAATAATAGGATCTGGTTTAGAACAAAATAACAAGTATTTAAAATAAATCTTATTTTAGGCATTAATTTTCGATCTTCCTCAACCGTTCATTATCCGTGGGATAAGTCTCTCTATCTCCAAAATAGGAAGAAAGAGTTAGAGGAGAGCATGAAACTGATTGATCCCCACAAGCCGGTAATAATATATATCGTAATTGTTCATGTCTAGATTCTACTACAACTTTATAGCATAAACTGTATAGCTTTGTAATGAGATAAATATGAGGTCAAATAATTGGTATCACAACAAATACTTATAAACTATATATCAAAATTACTACCTTGTAGAATCAAATTCTATCCGTGAATTCTGACAGTACTTTTATTTTTGATGTTATTGTTATTGTGATAGGATATTTCAAGTTTAGCAGTTATTGGAAGATCTAAGCTTTGGGAAGATGGGCGTGAACAATCTGATATTAATACTTCATTATATAATGATGATAGCCTATCTGAAGCAGATAGTGAAATAAAGTAAGTATGATAGCTTATGCTTTAAAAAAATAATTTTTTGATTTTACTTCAAATATGAAAGTTATGACCTATACTAATCCACTCAGATCTAGTGTTAAAGAGTTAAAAGTCAATGAATTTCATTTAACTTTAATACGGTAACATATATTAAACCGCGTGACAATTTCAGTAATATTAGTCCATTAATTAATTTTCTATTCAGTGATCCATTTAAACAGCATGCAGACTGTGTACCTCAACCTATACTTGGACCCTGTATTACAGTAGCCGGCCAAACTGTGCGTTGGGAAGGTGAAAATTGTGGCCTTGAAAGTGATGTCGCTATTATTACGCGTGTATTATTCGAAACCTACGCTGGCAAAGTTAGCACAACGACACTAGATATCGAAAACCTAGGCACATCAACTATCTACTTCTCATGGACGGTAAGTTATCCTTACTTGCAAATACGATTATTAAGAGAAACAATCTTGGTTTTACTTTATCTAACTTATGATATCTTAAATTTATGTACTCATTGCAGAACTTACCAAGCGATAAATCCCTCGATAGCATCTTGTATGGTAAAGCTCAAAGATTTTACTTCAATACGGGCGTTGGTATGTAGACGTTATGTAGATATTATGATTATACCATTTCAATTTGTTCCTTTAAAAAGTGTTATTATCTTACTCAATGTTCTAATTGATCAACAACTATGTAATAGTGATCATATTACGAGTTAGTTGATTACAAGCATTATTATCACATGTGCTAACATGAATAGTTAGCAAAAGCTGTTTGTCTCAATTTTTGCCTATAAGAGTATAGCAACATTTCTATAGGCAACATTAATCTATTTCCGCGCTGAAGTCCAACTAGTGGCAATATGACCTTAGACTAAAGTAAAATATTAGTGAATCATTTTAATTCATTAACTAAAATGCTACATTCTCTCTAATATTGGCAGTAATATAAATTCCGCGTTATGGTTTACGTAATGATGTTATTACAATATTATACACAACAAAAGCTAAATCTATGCAATCTAAAGTGCAGTTTCATATCTTCAGTGCTATTACATAAAATCCGTTTGCAGTCTTATAAATTTCAATAAAATGCAACTGAAAATAGAGCAATACCTGCTATTGCAATGAAACAAGATGGTAGCACAATTTTAATTCGTAGTATGCAACTATTAATTTTAGTAATTTAATGTAAGATAGCTATAAGTGTGAAGTAACTCGACGAAATCACTGAAATTTTTATTATTGTGCTACCTTAAGATATGATCATGCCCGGACAGAAGATGAAGTTTCCATTTACCTTTAAGTCATCTAATCCTGGAATATTTACGGAAACATGGTGCATGAATACTAAACCGACATTATGTGGCGGTGCTGCAATCAAAGTTGTTTTACGAGGCGTTGCACTGGAAGAAGATATTAATAAAGATAAAAGATCAAAAATTGAGGTAAAGCAAAATACAATCAATATTACAATGTATACTTACAGAATTTCAAATGAATTCGCATCATATGCTAACATGAATGATGAGAAAACTTAGTCAAAATTTGTGCTTTATGCTCTAATTTTTGTTTTTCGTATTCGTAAATGAATTTTATAATTTAAATGGTATTTAAATACACATTCCTTTTTGATAACAAATTTGCAGGCAGAATTAAGAAGAAAACAGGCTCTTTATGCCGTAAATCAACTACTTGATGATATTATTGAGGATGTGAAAACACCTCCACGTTCTTTATCTCCAGTAGATGCTCATATTACACCAGAAGAATTATTTGAAAGACGGAATCCTGGTGTAAGTTTTCCTTAGATTGTAATGTTCATAAAGATTTACGTATGTGTACTACATATGTAATAGAAGTCAAAATTTCTAAATTAGATTATATATAAGTTTAGATAAGGACTTGATAACACGTAAATATAGCTATCGCTGTTACCAGCTAAAAAAATTAGTATGAGGTGTAATGTTCATGAAATTTATTATCTAAATTAATCTTTTTGACTTTCATGTATTGGATAATCATCGATTTCAATTTTTTGCATCTGATTGTGATTGGTAGTCATTTTTAATCTGATTATCTTCGATTAAATTAAATTAAATTTATACAGCTATATTATCGCCCGGACGGCATTAATGAACTAAAAATGATATGGTACCACATTCATCAGCCGATACCTCCGGAATATCTAGAAAATACTGAAGATGTCAAGATCGAAAAAGGAAGCAAACAGGTTGGATCTACGAACCGAACCACAGGATTCGTTAATAGTAACTTTCGAGCATTATAAGCTATCTGATTAATAGTGATTATTATAATAAGTTGCGATTCGATAACATAAGATGACGTATGTTTTGACTATTTTGTAGTTAGCAATTGTTTTAAATTTGTTTTGCAAAGTGAGTTACCAAGTCTGAGCTGATTTTTTGAATTAAGGATAAATCTGGGAAAAGTGATCGATATGACAAGATGTCTAAATCTGATAAGCAAGATAAACAAGATAAAAATTTTAGAGGAGCTAAGAATGATTTAGCAGATCGACAGAATGATTATTTTGAGCCACCTGAGCCCGATGTACCGTGGGATTGGAGCATTGATATGCTTGAGGAGGTAAAATTGGTAGCTAACTATCGGATAAATCAATGTAAACTTACTTATTATAAACCATATCAAATTCGTAGCTCAACTAGTACTTTCATTCTGAGGTAGTAGCTACCATTAAAATATTAATTACTCAAGATATTGAAAGAAAAATATTATTTTTATATGGAATAGAATTTAATTTAAATTAGTTAATTATCAGCTCGGTAATAAAACTTATTCAGGAAAGACTGCAACTTAATTTAATCAAGATAATTTATATGTAAAGAAGTGTCACTAGTAGAAGTGTGCAAGGAGTACTTGATTTTAGGATAATTTGAAATCCTATGATTACACCTTTAATGCAGAAGGAATGGTTGTGAAAAATTAAATTATATTTATTGATAACCAATTAAACTTTCCATGAATAGAAAATATTAACCTTAGAGGATGACAGTTGGAAGAATGATTGTCTGCAACGAATGAACAACGCAATCAATATGCTGTCATTTCCAATACTTACACCATTAAAACAACAAATGTATTCGGTTGGGTACGTATATGCTCAGAATAAGGACTATATCTCACCTTTTATTGAAAAGTTTAATCTTTACTATCATTGGAATATTTTATTTATCATCATTCATTAATGAATTAGGATCAAATAAATTATCTTAATTTTATATTTATTTATTTAGATATAGTCTGTTAATTAATTTAATGGACTCCATAGCAAATTATGGAGTTACGTTGAGGAGTATACTAGGATTACCCGAAAAAGAAAGTTTAGAAGAGGAAGATGCAGGTAAACAATACTTTATTTTCGACATTGTGAAGATACATAAGTTTACTTAGTTATAGAGCCAGTACCTTAGATTGTAGATTTACCGTAGAGTTGCGTATAAATGTTTTACAATGAGATCTAAATGATTTAAACCAAAATAGAGCATGCTATATATAATTAGATTTATAACTCATGTAATTGAGAAAGATAATATTACAATTCAAATAGTAGTAGCAAATAAGATTAGTCAGGAATCACTAGAACTGGAGGGCTGGGGTAGGTAACTAAAATTTGTTGCCTTCACGATACCATTTTGTGATTAAATAATTAGGACCATGAACTAGTTTCTGATTGTAACTACGTGCACAACAGTACGTTACAATTATGAGATATAGGCTTACATTACTTAATACTACTAATGAAAAACATTATTTAATATTAATAAACAAAGGATGCTATCAGATCATACAATACTTACCATATAATTTCGTACAGCTACGACAACTAAAAAGAAAATGACAGCATCCGAAACTACGCGGTCAGAATCTACAAAGAAATCGGAATCAAGAAGTAAAAAGCCAAACAAAAAGGATGATAAAGACTTTGTAAGTTAAAGTAAAGTATCTGTTATTTAATCAGTAATAAATAACTCTATCGGCTACAAATTTAGTAGTATAAACTCATGAAAAATAGTGTTTCGAAAATTTAAGATAATGCTGTTCTTGATGAAAACCATATCATTTAACAAACTTAACTGTACCCTTTATGTATAATACAGGACAGCCTTAGACCTCAATCAAGGACGATTCGAACCTCTAAGTCAAAACACAGAGGTGATCTTCGAAGATATGAACATCTTCTTGTCTGATGATAAAAAGTTTTCATGATTTACACGACCAAGTTAAAATCCTACATTATTTTTTAGATCGACTAAAATCAACAACGACTTCATCACAAGAATATCATGACGTATGTAATTACCGATATTAATTTAGAGATTGAATCAGCTGCCATAGCGAGTATACAACTTGCTTCATTTATATTCAGCTACAAATGGTATACAATGTAATTACCCCTCTTATGAGTTAGATGCATTAAGTATGTTTTTTTCTAACATGCCTCTGTAGCAAACACGAGCATCCACTCCAGTTGATAAAACGGATCCGACGATAGAATTGAAATACAAGGAGAAGCTATACAGTCAAGTGAGATTTAAATTTGAAATTTGATAAATAATTTATTGGGATTTTGCAAATATAAATTTTTGTCCAAGTTAATAGTTTTGTCGAATGTAACGTGCTGGTACATTCAAATGTTCATATTCTATCTACGCGAATTGTAGTGCTTTTATTACTTATGAATTACGGCTAATTTTAATACAAATACTGTACTGTATTCATATTTCACAGGTTTATAACATGATGGAAGCCACAATAGATAAGATGGTATATCTTTTTGATGATATTAAAGCAAAGAACGGATCTAATATTGATCATGGTGATGATTAGATAAATTTCTAAGTTCAATTGATATCTAAAATATACAGATATGGCACGACAATGGATTACAGAACTATTAATCAGTGTATTTATTTCTTAATTATATTAAATTACATTGCATAATACTTATTGTAAAATTACAGTATAATAGTACAGATTACCATACACTGTATAAAGCAATAGGATTAAGTTAATACTTCAAAAAATTTATCTTGTGATTTTATGGCGGCTTCTAAAAAGCTATTTACTTGGCTCAGTGTTAACGAGTTGTGTATTGTCATTAAAGGATAAACAGTAGGGATTAGAGGTTGACTTGATACACCTAGATTAATTAAATAAAAGAAATAATAGCAAGGCATATATGTTAGTAGCTTTTAGAAAAATAAAGACTAAAATACTAGGTATTCTAAACGTATTACATAGTATTCAATTAAGAATGATAACTTTCGTGGACCACCACCGTACATAACAGTGTAAATTTAAACTAAAAATAAAACAATCTACTCAAAAAACAAAAAACCCTATACAAAGAAACGCCCATAGTAATTTACTTAATTGACTACAACCGATTTGTTTCTGCCCAGAATGAAGCAAATACATTTAACATTAAAATAATAACAATTAAGTGAAAAATAAAGTTTCAGTGGTACTATTGTATAAAGAGAAGCTAGAATCTCATATGTATTACAGTAACGATCGGTATTTTAGCGAAGTTAGGTTCCTTGCTCAATCTTGGATGTCTTTCCTTTTTCTCCATTTACCTATGGATGATTTGTAATCGACGATTTGGTGGATTATCCATTAGAATCATCGATAATCACAATCCGTGGCATTTCTTCCACAGATTATCTGCTGTAAAACTACTATCGTACTCCTCATCATCATCTATTTAATGAGGAAGAGAAAGATGGTAGTCTAATACACTCACGGAAGCCATGTTGAAGTGGTCATTAAATGTCCTTGACCCAAGCGCGCCATATGCAACGACTGCTAAGCGTGTATCATACACTATAGTAGTCGTAGAATTATTGACTTATAAGACCAATCGGTAGGTCTCAGTATGCTGATTATGACTACCTTAACTATTTTTACCCATTACGAATTTTAATTCTAAATATAGAAAATTCTGATAATGTGATATATCCCGATTAATTTACGATGAACGATATAAACATGGCGAGCTAATGGAAAAGTTACTACATTCTAAAGCTGTAAAACTGATGCACTTATACAAACAACAAAAAAATAAATAAGTATTACTCGTATGGGGCAGTCCAACTACTGTATTCCACTATTATTTTCAGGGGTAAAACGCAGTATATAAATCATGGTAAAGGACTATAAATGATATAAAATGACTAAATTCTTCGACGGTTATAGGCGAAACTGGTATTACGGGACCCCAAAAATTGTCAGTAATTACCGACCCACAGTAATTGGGCCATATAACGCTAATAAAAATTAAAATTTTCAAAAATTGACATCGAATAAAATGTATTTTAACATAATAGCGCGTAAATTAATCACCAATAAGTCCGTTCATTGGGATTGGTTGTTCAAGGGTTGCCTGATCAAGCAATGACGAAACATCACTGCTATATCCTGTCACTTTTTTAGTAGCTCTGATTCTGGCTATGTCTATTAAATATTATAATAATAATTGTGTTATAAAAACTTGAAAAAAGTACTGACTCACCGAATATTTATGTATTACAAACCGTTATCTGATGAGTAGCGTCTAGCTTTGAAAACTATGGTAATTAAAAGTAGAGGATAAAAAAATTAATTAATAGTGGGGCCCACTGAATTCATTCATTCATTCATTCACAAAAGTCTAAAAGTTGCGTAAAGTAATTACGCTATTTGGCAGCATACAGTACATACTGTACAGTATTTAAAGTGAATATGAACTTCTTACCTGAATTGTCATCTGTGCTACTTTCGATAGGAGCATCAGTTCCATCTTTTTTGGAAGGAGCCTCTTTAACTGACGTTTTATCGTTAAAATTACTATTTTCTGATACCTTTCTATAAATGGACTTTTCACCAAGTTGCTCTTCTAGCAGCCGATCTCCTGCACTAAAGTGTAGTGTAACTCTATATTTCTGTTCCGAACTAACATCTTGACTGGGATCCTCATACAGCATGAAAACAATTTGAGTCAGATAATTCAATTCAGAGATATCTTCCATACATTCCATTGACTTAGTCCATTGTTTATCAGACGCCTGAAAGATATAGTATTATGAACCGGAGTTTATTAAAGGCACATATGAGTAGTTGCAGTGCTGTAGAATTTTTTCTTACATCACATAATTTGCTATCGCGGATAGCAGATAATAGGGTGTGGATATGACTTTCACTGGTAAAATAAAGTCGCGTCCGAACGTGCCGATCAGGCGTAATGACACCTTGGGAGTATCTAATTTTTATTTTGCAAATTTTATAATAGGTCAAGTAATCCGTTGTTAGTACCAGTTTACTCCAGAGCTAAAACACACTGGTTAAACTGGCTATTTTAAATCTACGAAAGCTTGTTGTATTTTTTTGCGTATTGATTATAATTGAAATTACTTCGGATTGAGCCTGTTACTAGACTCCGTATCGCAGCAGATGTTATGCTGCAAATCAGCTCGCAACTTCCGAAAAAGATTATGACAAATCTTTTCGCTTATTTCGTGTTTCTCTTCACCGGTAATGCCGTATTCCTATATCGTTACAACAAATGCAATTTATGGTTTAAGAATCTAAATGAAGTAATAGATTAATTATTGAAGTCAAAGAAAAAAGGCATGATACTAATCTTACCAGTGGAATTACAATATCAGCTAAAGGTTTTACGGCTTTATAAAGATCGTGTATATTATCAAGTCGTAAATCTCTAGATGGTAAAAAGTTAATTAACAATTGAGATCTGTTAATTATTTGGATATTTGAAATAAGTACACTAATTCTCGTTTTGCAATTATGTTATTGTAAAAGATATTAACAGGGCTACGTCATATTACTGCAAAGAAGCCCTATAATGATACAAATGTAATTCACTGAACTTAGGCTGACAACAAAATTATACATAAATTTCACAATTATCGTACTCTTTACGCTGTTCCTTGATAGTGATCATTATGCTTACGTTCCTAATACTATTAGTTATAGCTACTAAGATACGAAATTTATAGTAAAATTGTAGCAAGCTTTACTATAAATTCGTATCACATTATAGTTAATGAAGTATACATGTAGTTGCAGAATTCTATTAAATTATACATAGCCATGTTGCTGTATATTTCTGATAGTATATTCCTGTAGCTTACTATACTGAGTTGACTGTCAAGATAGCAGGTATAGTATAATAAGTATTAGTTTCTGGTAAGTAAATGAGAGCGAGTCCAATTTAAAAAAAATATTTTACAAGGCTTATTATTAACATTGGATAAATAAGCTTGATGATAATGTAATTTTATGGTGCATTGCGGTAACACGGACTCATATTTAGAAATGATCGAATTATATATATATCTACATTTATTGTATAGCAAGCAAGTTCATATTCTGACCTGTTATGCAGAGCATCATATTTAATGCAATCGTAAATATCCGGTATCTTACTAATTTCGAATAAATCATTTCTCTTAAATTCCTAAATTGTGGCATTACGAATGAAACTTATACGTTCTGAGAAGAATAAAATTTGAATGAATTTAATTGACTTAACCTTTTCCAGTTTTGTCCATCTTTTATACATCATTACCAAACTTTCACCCATATACAACAACGGCTCTTATAAAGATGTATAGAAAGTGCCATCAATAATTAGTAACGATATTTATAACGACATCTGAACATAAAACTGAATTATCTATTACCTTCTGTTTGGTTTTCAGAAATTTCTATAAGACCTTTTAATTGTTTGGTAAGAGATCGAACTAATTCAAACACTTTTTGACAAGCTCTGCGAGGATTTCCTATCATTTTCATTGCTGCAATAATGGAATTTGATTTCACAGATGAAAGCTATAAGAGTAATAAATTAATTCACGTAATAGGAAATTACTTATTTAAGAAGGAGAAAGAGGACACCAAATCTTTGTTATAAGTACTAAAAATTAAAATCCTAACGTACATAAGCATAGTCTTCTTCTGTAAAGTTTTCATCTTTTTGCAAGATCTCATGTAAACGACTTTTTACTCTAGCAGAATAGACTTAGTATATATCTGATCCCATTGCAGTGATCAATTAACAAAAAGGTGCTTACTCCATCATGAGGCTTTCTGCATGCGTTGACGTGTCTAACATCCTATTGGTGTGGTTACTCTTCACTAAATGGACCAGTATGGGAGTTAAGCCACACTCAAGGTCGAGTAAACCCTAACAAAATAAAAGCAGAGCATCTTCCAAATTAATTGGGGATAGCGATAAATAGTTCGTAACTATAATAAAACTTGTAAATCAAACATTTAATAATTATATACTTTCGCAAAGCTGGCGGCAGTCGTTTGCACACGACCCTCATCGGAAGAATAAATCTTCAGGTCGTGTCGATAAGTGCTGTGTAATCTCAGGAAGCCGGATCCTGGATAGTTACTATACTCTCCTATAATATTTACATAAAAGGAATGCTTATTTATAGGAGTTTAACCAAATTTTTCAACTTATCCTCGTATTAAAATAAGAAGTAGATAATGCACCTTGACCACTTGGGTATATACATCTAAAAGCACAACCCAAGCGCTCAGCTTCACTACGTCCTAAAGGTGTTAGTTCACCTCCCCACTTTGCAATCAAGAGTAAGCTAGGCCTAGAAGCTTAAGATCGAAAAGTTCATTGTTTGATGTAAAGGAATAATTTTTGCTCTATAAATATTTACAAGCATTTTTCTCTCTCTTTTTAATAGTCACCTCTGTTATCGTCGCTACTGTTGCTGTTACCGTCAGCTCTAATTCTTTTGTTCATACACTTTAATTGGACCTTTCTATTTATACCAGAGAAATGACCGTACCTATATTTTCAGTGAAAATATCCATGTGTTACAAAGAGTGGAGTTGTTGTAAATACCTACTACAGAGTTGAAATAAAACATTTAAAGTAGTAAGATTAGAAAGATAACGTAATGTTTCATTTTTATGTTGTACATTTCTAGGACTGCGCGCAGCTGTTGTAATTTTTCGTAAGATTCAAAGATAGTCTTGTCCTGGTTCGAGTCAAAGGTAAATAGCAATTCTCGAACAATGTCTAAAATTTCCTAACCAAAATGATGTGTAAGATAATGTTAGTCGTATTTTAAGGCATAGAAATGAGTTTTATTAACGAATGAGTGAAGAGAATAGGTAATTTAGTTTCGATTGGATTACTTGTAATTGTTTCGGTTTTTTTAATTTCAAATTTTTACGTTCACTTCCACCATATTTTCGAAAGATTTCGATAAATCTAAAGAACAATCCAATGCTATAGTTAGTTCACTATATAATTTCTGTAGTTGCTAAGAAGTATATTCTATATTAGTACATGAAATTCTGCTTACTTTTCATGGTTTACATGCATTTTGAGCTTCTGCTTTGGCGTACGATCACCGTGACGCATTATAGCGATAACACAACGGAGTTCTAGGCTAAATGAATTAGGATACCAATATCAACAAGAGTATTAATACGTAGTATAGTGCAAATTGAGATTACCAACCCATTCTTAACTTTAATACTTAAAGGTACATCATCCGCCTTGCGAGATATTACTAGGGGGATGGGCTGCTGAGGTGAGAAATGTGACAAAATCATATGTCTAGGGAAAAATTTAATGACACTATTAGCAGTTAAATTACTATAAGACAAAAAAACAATTGTTTAAAGTATAGGATGTCTATGATTAGTACTGTGGCAATAGAAATAAAAATTGGTCATTACCCTAGAATTTGTGCACAGTCGTTATAATACTTTTGAGATGTTTTGACGAAGCTAAAGCCATTTACATCACAGACATACGATTTACCGTTTGCTCTTAGTAAATCAAAACCGCAAACAGTTTGCTACAATTTTTACAAATCATTTCAATAAGGCGGTTACGCATTCCAATGAAGTCAGTTTTCCTAAACAGTTTAATTTGCAATTGCAATATTACAAATCACCTTAAACGCTAGACACACTTTTCTGGCAATAGTTTTTTCAGCAGCTGTCAAAATGATAGGATATCGAACTTCTTTCCCTTGTATATCTCTCTCAACAACTCCATCTAATGCCTGTAAAGGTGAGTAAAAAAATTTAAATTTTATTTAAATAAAAATACATATAAAAAAGCTACTTTTTTGATACTGTATCTGAATTTTGCGTAGGCAATGTAATCGTTTACAACAAGTGGCTTTTCAATAATTTACTCGAATGGTGATGTCGTAACTTACTGGTGATTTTCGAGCTTCAGCATGTGCATATTCTGGTCCAACTGTGTAGATCTAAAGTTATATGAGTACCTCACTATTATAACGCTGTAAAGCTGTAATTGTTCTGTAATGATACAGTCTCTTGCGTACTTGTTGAGCGCAATGCTATGCAAGTGGATAAGTAAGTCTAGTACCTTAACATCGACTCCTTCTGTGGGCATGAATTCCTCGTAAAGGTATGACCCATCTCTTCTAACGTGGCTTTCTTGCTTGTAAACACTTGATTTTGAGCCGATCTAGTATATATAAATTTTGGCCATCAATCAAGTATATTGAACTGTAATTTAAGCACCTTAATAATTTTAGCGTGCAGAAATTGAATATACTTGCAGAGGATCTTGCTAACCTTACGAAATAGTCGCTGGCTTCCACCTCCAGCGGAAGAAGGATAATATATGACAATATTATGATCTTCAGCCGATACTGGCTTTTCAACAAAGGGTTTGTGGAATATTTCCCCACTAACTTTTAAGATATCTTCAAGTTCATCAATGTCTGTAAGTTATTATTGTGATGTACGATAAATAAGATTTGGTGGGTTATTAGTAATTAGAGGAAATTAGGATTCTTTCTGAATATAGGTAGCTAATACATTAGCTTTATTGCATATGTTATTGCTGCATCCTTCAAATTTCTAAAATGTGCCTTGATGTACACTTTCTACTAGATTTTAGGTCAAATAGCAAAGGTTTCACTAGTCTACACTAAACTAGTACCTTTCCATGGATTCCTAATTGGACTTATCTTTGATACTATTTACAAGATGGGCATATGCTTTAATCAGTTAGGGAATGGACTACTAGATATCTAGTAGTCCATGGTTAAGGTAATTATAAGTTTACAGTCTTTATATAGTAAAACTTACTCTGACCATCATTTTCATTGTCTAAATTTCTTTCCAAGATGGTATATCTAGGTATTGGTATCTCATGTTTTTTTAAAATCCTGTAGACCTTTGCTCTGGATATTGTAAACAAGACATATTGATTATTACAAAGGGCATATTTATAATTCGTACAGATTAAAGTTTATTCTATCCAACATTTGCATAAAATGTATACGGAAATTGGACAAACGTGAGCTTGTTAAGTTCAATTAGATAGCCTGAAATTTTTAAGATAGTATTTTCGTACCTGTCCATCAAGTCGTATTGCATCGTTAAATCATTAAGGAGAAACGGCTTTCGTAACTGTGCATACTCTATCGCCTTCTTCAAGGGAAATCCAGAAGAGTAGAAAGCTATCAAGCAATCACAACAGGGCCATTTTTCGACCGGTTCATTAAGAATGACGTCATCTTGGAAGGTAATAATTTGTAGCGAATCATATTTACGCAAGCGATTCAGTATTTCTTTCATTGGTCTCGCTCTTGACTGAAGTCATAGTAAAGCAGAAATTACGTTCAGCTTAGATACTCTTATAAGTTTATTTTAACAGTAAAATAAAAGTACTACAACAACGACATGTACTGCAAACTAGTGTGCTTTACATCAACAGGAAAATAGTTTTAATGCAAGTAGAGAATAGGAATGAGAGTACAATTTTAGTCTATCCGTACAGCTTATAACCAATAACCTGTAGGCATTGAATACTTGAATACACAGACTACTACCGTACAACAATGGTATTTGGTTGTCCATGGTGTATCATAGTAACAAAAACTCTTAATATCGACAACTCTAGATTCAACTGCAATCGATAAATAATGAATATACAGTATAATTGAACAATTGTATGCGATAGTGCATATTAATTGAAAGCCACAACTAACTTGATACAATCTCTGAAACTTTTTTTAGACAAGCTTCATAGAGAGGTAGGTAATTGTAGTTACTAGTTATAGCACTTACTTTTCTATTCATAGAGCACACTCCTATTACAATACGATTTCCACTTATTGAGTGGTCCTAAAAATTCAAATTTAAAAATTAAATTATTTCATTGCATAGAATGGTTTTACAAGTTAATTCCGTCTCGGTCATTCATAAACTGTAGTTGTAATACATTATGTAAACTATGCTAAGTCATTGGAGTTTACAGTGCTACTATATCCTTAGTTCCAAGTACAGTAGTACCGTATGACAATGAATAAAATTGAAGTTATTGATTAATAGTACATGTAGAGTACAGGAAGACTTTTATAATTTTTACCTCGGTCATCTTGTCTGAGATCGATCGTATTAAATATAAATCAATTAATGAAGGCAAAGCTTGAATGGAAGTGTTATCGAACGTATATTGTACTATCTATTAACAACAACTGCTAAGAAAGAAATACAGTACTACAATCTTATGAGTAAAAGAGTGCAGCTATCAGTGTACCACTCGTTCGATGGATAATTATCGTAGAAATGAAATTTTCTCCATTGTAAAAATATGAAAGTAATATACTGAGGGCCAAAGACTACAAGTTGTAGAGCAAGAGAAATCTCTACTTGGGTACGCGCTAGCTTCTGAAATAAAATTTTGAAATTAAATACACCATTACACTGTACACTGTACAGTACTGTACTGTACAGTACAGTGAGTTACAGTCCGTAGTGTTTAGTACTGTACATTAGCGTAGATATCAGTTCTGTACAGTACTGTATAGTAGTGTGTACAGTATGCCGAGAAAATATTTTGTGAACCTATGCAAATTAATACTGTAGTATGCAGTACAGTACTGTAAGATTTTGTATTTTCGACGGAACGGTATGGAATACGGAACGGAACGGAATCGCAAATCCATGTGATTCCGTTCCGTATTCTACAGTGCAGTTGTGTTTAGTACTGTACTGTACAGTACCGTAGACGTCAGTTCTGTACTGTACAGTACTGTTAGAAGTCCCTTGTACTGTACACTGTACACTACAGTCGCTAGGAACACTGTTACCGTAACAGTCTCTGTCGGGTACGGGACACCTGAGTACACATCACACCTGCAACGTTGCTTTGTTGACTGCATAATGATTCATCGTGTAGGAGCTGATCCAGGTCACGATTTTGAAACACTCTTAACCCAGCGATTTAAGTCTGCGTTTATTCATTGATTAATTAATAAATAAATGAATTATAGATCGTAATATCTGAATTATACCATGCTATAAGCAAAGCACATTTATTCGTATAGAACTGGGTACAAGGCCGAAACCTTCGACACCAATTGGTTGGGATTGACAGTATTAGATAGTGCCAGACAACTGGATCATCACAAACGCCATCGTGCAACTCACCGTACTCGTATTATGCGGTTCTGCATAGGATGTAAAATATCTATGTAAACTAAAAAAATCACGATCGATTTTGCCTTCCATCTTGAAGTTTGCCTCCTTATTGTACCGCTGTGCTTGATACATACTGTAACTACGCTATCAACTTTGTAACACCGTCTTATTGATTCAATTTTAGCTACATTTCCAATTTTACTGTTGAACGATTTCATTCCTTTGCTGCAATAACGGTCGTGCAATTCAAAAATGAGGCATCGTTGCTTCTTAGTTATTATTGTAATCACCGCATTCATGTTTATTATAAAAATTAGAAATTCTAGTTATAATCATAAAGACATTGATATATCGAAAAGTAAAGATACTGATCTTAATGGAATTACCTTTACTAATAATGAAGTTACACTGGCAACGGCTCCTCCATTAACCTTCGAAAGTAATTTTACCAGTATAAAGATTCCTATGGTGATTTTCTGTTCATATCGGCACGAATATATGTCACGATTATTGCGTTCGCTACGAGATATTGATGGTCTACATCCTAATAGCACATGTTTATTCGCATGTCAGAAATCACCAGTCGTCAAAGATGAAGATATCAAAAAAACCAACCAACTTATTGCAGGTGTAAAATTTTGCAAGACTAAAACTATAATTACACAGAGTAAACGTAGAAATGCAAAAGAATATAAACAACAGTGGTATAATGTTGTAAAGCAGACTTTCGAGGACAAAGGTACTGTATCATTGTAATGGAACGATGGTGTAAATCTTGATCGCTAAAACCTATTTACATTTCTGCACAATTTTACACAATTGTAGTAAAGTAGCTTATCATATTGACGCATGGTATTTTCGATCAAAATTTAGTGCCATGCAGATTTGCATATATAATCGTATATAGACACAGCAATAGACTATACTGTACATTAACTTAAAGAAGAAATTGGATCGATGAAACAGTCAATCAAGTACATTCTATTGGTGCGGCAATCTATTTTTTGCAATACTTAAATTCTTAAGATTAGCTTGAGGTTATCAATAATGGTTAATTGTGTGTGTGTTGTATCAATAGTATCAAATTTCTTAATGATGAGATTAAGTTCCTTCACTATTTGCTATCATCTACAGGATCTGTGTCATCATTTAATTTAGCAATCGACGCCACTATATTACGTATCTACCTGCTGTATCGATACAGCATTCAACCTAGAGCTGAACCAGTATATTTGTCTACTGTAGATAAATATTGTAATGTATCGCAAGTGTAAATATGCTTGTATCTATGTCTAAGTTGTACTTGTAAATTGTAAATACAGTTCTATGCGCACGCTGTCATCCATCATCTAAAATGTTCAATTATAGAATCCATGAGCATGAAGTAATTATGATCGTGTTGTCATGCACGCCAGAAGTATACCAAAAGCTGGATAAATCTTTAAACCTACAGTATTGTACGTGGATGTTTGTTACATGATATGCTTGATACTTTCAAAGTGGATACAAGCGATGTGGCATAAAATTAACTCATAATTACTTTTACTCGTGAATTTCATTGTCGTTATATTACTTTTAGATAGCCATTTAGATGCAATGCTATTAACTTATTAGTAGATGTCATACATTTCAAACTTCTTCACTTGTAGCTATTTAGGCAAAACACGATTATATCTCTAGTACAGTACAATACACGATACTGCCTATGCAGTTTTACCTTTTCTGCTGAAATAATGTCTAGATAACAGGTAGTCAGAGTAACATAATATTTTGATGTAAATATTAATAGCATTGTGCCTCTACCCTGCGCTAATTGAAAGTTACAACGTACAGTCCTGTGCTTAATTAAAATTATAGAGTATCCATTATTTTGTATGATAATACGATAAGGTATGAATTGTTAAAGTATAACTTGAGATACTTATAGATATGTCTACAAGTATTCAACAATTGAAAGCTAATATATCGTGTATTGGCTAGCACTAGCGTTTCTACCTATAATAAAAAATGACATCACTTGATCAATTTGAATCGTTTGAGGAATATTCTCAAGTACTCTGGTGCTTTTACTCGTAGATATTTTTGGTTTGGGATCTGTATATGAGGAAGATGTTCTCTTTTTAGAGGACGATATCGAGCTTTCGAAAGACGCCATCAAGATGATATGGTACATGTTACAGATCAAAAATTCGCGTTATAAGACTGTTGCTGTTGGACTTGGGGGATGGTCAGGAGAAAATCTTGTAAATCCTCACCCAGATACGGTGGTGATTCGGTGTGTAATTTCGAAAGCATAAACTTTAAGTAGTATTAGGCTTTTGAAAGTAATACATAGCAATACTATTACCAAAAATTCTGCATGTTACTTTATCTACATATACATAAAATAATCTATTTGCTGCTCGCTTATGTATGTACATAATTTCTTTGTTTATGTTTCTTTGAAGATATATGCTCTTCTTTCCCGGCATGGCGTACGCATTCAACGCTTCTGTTTGGAGAGAAATTAAAACGTCTCGTTTCTTAACAATCAAAGTCAACGATTGGTCTGAGGCCCTTGGTTGGCTTTGGGTAGGTCGCTACAATGTGATTGTTCCGACTCTTGGACGAATATGGCATATTGGTGCAATAGGGCTTGGGCATACTGGAGATGGAAAGAAAAGACGTAGGATTGAGGTCAGCTATTCGTGTATAAAAGCTTTTTTAGATTATTATGCTGTCTTATGAACGAATTCAGTAAATGAAGTATTGTTATATATGGCATTAACAAGGCTGATTTATGGTCAATAACATTCTATGCACAACTTTTTAGCCAAATCCTGCATGGTCAAAATCTCCTCGTTTAGTAGATCTAAATAAGATCACCTTGAATACGGGTGAACGAGATCTTTTCGGTATGTACTGTAATCCAAGCGATTGGACACCATACATGTCTGTCAAGTGTATGTGTCCCAAGACAAGATCGTTATATCCGAATAGAAAGCATTTCCAGATAGTGTGCGTAAAGTTTCCTGGTGTTTATGATAAGTGTATAGGTCGAGATCCGTAATATTAGAGCAATTAAATTTGTTGACGTTGCTGTGTAATACAATATAAATAGATACGGATATTAGAATAGACAAAGAATATCGTTACATTTTTATCATCTCCTGGTATTAAAATATTAATATTGTACATTTTAAATTGTATGCATCAAAGTTTTATTTTGAACATAGTGTATTCGAGGTGGTATCTATTATAATTAAAAGTAACAATAGAAAATATTAATTTGCGTAAATGTTTCAAATTTTGAGTTCTAACCAGTCTTTCTGTTACAAGAGCTCTTTGAATCTATGTTTAATCGATTTATAAGTAACATTTGAAATTCGTAAAACGTATTTCAGTTCATAAATATTGCAATTCCTGCCGTGTATTTCATGCATAGAAAGTGATTATAATAATTGCGTCGAATTTATAATAAAAGTTAACAGACTTCGGTAGTTATAACTACAGGTTCGTATAGCATAAATGTACAGATGTAATGGAATCAACAATTTACCACATACGATTACCTTCAAACTGAACTAGACAGTTAGTGTATTAGAGTAAGTTAAGTTATTGTCAGTATTTTAAGAATCAGTGAATTTTGTTTGATTTCATTTACAATTACTATAAAATTGAAGTATCGTATAATCTACATTGTATAGCCTACGAAGTCAAACTATCTAGGAATGTTAAGATGCGGGTATCGGTGTTCTTAATAGATATGAATAGATTTTGGATGATTGCCATATATTGTATGCATAGTAAATATGAAAGGGTGTTACTGACTCATGGTAGATTTAAAAGGCCTATAAATAATTTATATGTTCCTCTTTCGAGATCAAAGATATTTCAATATTGTGAAGTTCATCATTATAATCACTGCACCCGATATTAATTAGATCAAAAATACACATTTTATCCATTATTATACGTTCATTGACTATAATTAAAATTAAAATTTATTGATTGCCGTACAACACTGCGATGATGATAATTTAGTGTTGGAAGATCTAATTTATTAGAATTTTGATTATAATTTATAATAGCTGCTAGTTCATAAACTGTGTAAAAAATAAATTTCGTGGAGGCTTAAATCGCTACCGATTTCTCCTACGTTTTATAAACGTGTTGTGATTACAGTCGATAAGACAGTCATTCCGATTTAATGTGAGAGGCCATTCTTATTATTTTCTTTACTAAATATCTACTAGGACTTACAACATTATTGTATAAGGGAACTACATTAAATGCTGTTACAAGAAATTAGAATATTAATGTAACCTGTTCGTATGATACTACGGTGTAAAACTTTACTGCTCCTCTGGACTGAAGTCAGTAGTTTTTCATTCTATCTATTTTGCTACCATCAGACACTAGATTTGTCACCCTTTCTTATTAACAACCTATTATATCTGCGCGTATTCAATCATATTATTAAAGTTTTCAAATAGTTTTAATGGCTTCATGTGTACAGTAATGATACACTACGCTATGATGTTATCATAAACGTTCCCCTTCTGTAGTCTTAATGCATAAATAATATATGTACCACGTATGTAATTACAACTAGTAAAGTATATGCTGTCAGAGCTGGCTGTTTTCCAGATAACTTTCATGAACGTAATAACTAGCAAAATACCCTTTACCCTAACGGGTCTAACTCATCATAATAAGATTGCGATCCATACGGTAGATTAACTCATCGCTCTATTAGTTCCATGACGACTTTACAGTAATTGCAACTGACAGTCTTCAATACCGTACATGTAAGATGCATGATGGACAGTATCACTGGCATGCCTTGAGTAATGCTTAGAAATGATAGTAAATTATAAATACTCGTTTCAGTACAATCTAAATAAATTTATTATTTTAAATATTTTCGATATCATGGATTTACTTGTCAAGTATGAAATCTAATGAATACAATAATAATACAATTAGTTGCTAAATTAATTATCCAAGGATTTATAAGCTCACAGATTTACATTTTAAATATTTTAGTCCTTCAATATTTTTCTATAAGCTATCTAAATGATCATGTGTACAGAAATAGGCATTTCAGATATAATCTTACTTAGGCAACATAAATCATATTGAAATAGTTGAACATTAGCACGTAAATGCAAAGAAATGAAGGCCTAAGAGAAACATAGCATGATTTATTTTCATTGATATAATAATATATTTCCACCAGAAGATATTGGGATATATTTTTATTTCCGTGATAACTATGGTATCGCGATGTCCGGACTTCAGATTTATTGTGGAATGCTGAGATCGTCTAATTATATGGTATCGACTGTAAGGTTTTATTTCTGTCTAGCTTGTCAGGATTTGAAGTTCATCAAACTATTTTGGGTAAATAGAAAAGTGTCACAAAAATTCAGTGAACAAAGAATACTTCAGTTTTTGTGATTTTCAAACATATTATTAATACATCGATATGTTATCTATCAATTTATTTTCACATCTTAAAACGGTTTAGATTATATATATATAAAATGATAAAAGAGGGCAGGGCATCAAATATATATCCAATGAGAGCGTTCGAAACTGCAGAACAACAATGCTACTTTGGTAGTATCAACTAAGGCGGACAAGATCTAGGTATATGTTAATTAATTAATGTTATGACACTGATGTGTATAGAATATTAACCTTGCAACAATATTGCAGTATATGTAATGAGGCGAAGTTGTATAATAGTGTACTTATGTTTCAAATCAATGTAATAGATAGTAGATTTCTTAAACCAATACTGTGTGTATGCACAGGATATTTTAAGCTTGAAGTTTAACTAGGCATCCTTGTCCGGTTAATTCATAGTAGGTACATTAATTACTTAATAACATAATACTGTAATGGGTTTACTGTTAGTGTTTAACTGGATGAATTCACGTCAGTTTGGCTATAAATACTATAATTAGCAAAAGATATCGGAGTGATGTATTGACTTGGTCAGGAAGAGAATCGGTACTCTAGTTAAAGTTCCTTACATTCTAGGCCACTTGTTTTACCGTCACAAGCAACTACTTTCAATTTGTCAACCTTAAACGAGTGTGTATCGCTTCCGGTCTCACGGAATTCCGCATTTTCAACAATTAAAGTCCAAACACTATCACAAAACCTGTATGTTCGTAAATGTCCCTAAATAAAACATGAAGCAGAAAACGCTTAAATTTCCTTGTAAGTTTTTTGCTCATCGTCGCTAATACTGTACTTACAATGGGTTAGAAATGCGGATTAAGATAATATTAAAATATTTCGTAGTGGACTGTGTTGTACATATCTAATACTGCATAAATTGTAAAGACACTTATAGGATTCTTCTTGACTCTACGATTCTTTCCACAACATCAATACATCGTTCTTGCAGTTAGAAAAACTCTATACTATTATTCATTAGTACAGTATAACGACTACAGTATACTTTATAAAGTAGTGGATAAGAGATATTTTGCTTCAGTAAAACATGCACAGCAATTTGGTCGATAAAAAAGTGAAGTAGTTGAGCACTTTCAAGCATTCCTAACTGATATAAAACTTACCTTAAATGACATTCTAGTGCGTAACCGATTTGCTAATGCGGAATTAATAGTTTTATCAAATTGTAGTAGAACGATCAAAGCCAAATCAGGATCAATTTGCTGCGTCTAGAGATTAAAATAGAATTTTGTCGTTCTTAATTATTTTCATTTACAGTAACGAATACGTGTAGCCATCTCTGTGACTTTTAGTTGTAGTCGGCAGTATGTCTCAAAATGGAAATTGTCGTGAACTAGCAGGTAGCAAGTGTAGAAATAAGAAACCATTATTATATATATTAACATATTATCAACTAGAACGCTCACTTATAAATTGTGCAATCATGATTTCGTAGTTTTTATCATAATAAAATCTACTATATGAATAGCATGTACCTCAGTGAATTTATATTATATACGCGTACAGTATATACTGTATATTGGCCAATTTTAGATCGCCGAGTATGATTTGCTACCATTCATCAATTGATATACGATAATTCGTGCAAAGCAATTTATCACAGAATCGTATTTGTACAAGTGGCGGCTAAAAGACACCGGCGCGGAATACTTTTTAAGATTTATTATTCTGAAATGATTTTTCATTACTATTTTCCTACTACATAGCGGTGTATAACAGTGGTGTGCAGTAAAGTTCCTTTTACGCAGTAGATAATAACAATCAATGTTGCATATTCACGTCCACTCTTGGCCGCTGTAGATCAAATAGAATGAATTGAGAGCATATACTGTACATTACATATTTCTAATCTCGCCTTTTGATTACTACAGTAATATACTGTACACTGTATAGTAAGTATAATCGAACACGTTGTAAGAGCTCGAGATCCTATTGGATATACAGATAGAGCTCGTAACTTATTTATCTCGTCGCTATTTATGCTAGTTGTTCCACCTTATTGGATATACCGACAGAGCTCGTAACTTATTTATCTCGTCGCTATTTATGCTAGTTGTTCCACCTTATTGGATATACCGACAGAGCTCGTAACTTATTTATCTCGTCGCTATTTATGCTAGTTGTTCCACCTTAAAGATGATTTTTATACAGTACAGCATAACAATATCAGTATTATCGACAAACAAAATCTGGTACATTATCACGTGCTACTAAAAGGGATCCATGATTGCCTCGTGCCGTATTTTTCTCATTTTCAGGTACCACAGCATGATCAGATAGCAGAATTAGCGTCTACCTCTACCGTAAACGTATAGTAGTCTTTGACAATGTCACGCTTCTTTTTTTGGGCAATGCACAGTTATATCCCTGCGCATAGCAGAGGTTGCTATCACAGGCAAGCGTGCATGCAGATTTCGATTTAGCTGAAAACTACTAGATCATATTCATAAATCATACTATATATTTAAGTCAAGATTTTCGAACCTTGACCAAGAACTCAATTCAAGATAGCCACATGCAATAACGATATGCAATAATAACATGCCCTTAGCTTCAAGATGCGATGCGAAAAGCAAACACGATCTCCATCGTACTGACCTGTATCAGTTCCTCTAACGTTTCCTGTAAACTCTGACCTAACGTCGTATTTCTGTAAAGCTGATAACTCATTCTTTTTACCAATTTCTTTAGTCTTGGCTTGAAAAAATTCAAGGTTTATCGGCTTAACGTTTAAAAATCGCGAAGCCAAATGGTAACAACAAAAAGAAAGAAAAAGGATAAATGTCCAGCAGTGCGCAGTCGCTGTTGTACTTTTGTACAGTACAATACAGTACAGTACAATGTAAAAAGTACGCGTAAAGTACTGTAATAAGAGGTTTAATGGGAAAAAGGAATTCAGAAGTGGCTTGGTCCAATGGCTCTGTCTACAGTACGATGTTTTTATTTTCTTTCAGACTGCGAAAAAGGGAAAAAATATTACTGAAACTAACGTAAAATTACTATACTTTATACCGTATACCATTATGTAGCTAGAGAGCTAAGCTTCTATACAAGTTGATACAATTACTGTACGCTACTCGTAATGCTCATTCTAAAATATCAGTCTAAAAGACAATATCGTCTACAGTCCAAAGCGAAATTGTACAGTGTACAGTACTGTACTGGACAATGTCCGACAGTCCGAGGAATGTCCAGTCCACACACGCAAATGGTGGGTGACTCTCTGATCCATGATGCTGTACTGTACAGTACTGTATTGTAGTGGTGGAGGCATAGATCGTAACGATCCGAACCGAACCGTTCTCAGGTCTAGCAGGAGCCGATGCTTTGCAGCGTTTTCCTTTTGACGTAGTCAAAAGGGACCGTGACGTAACTGCACTTGTGTACAGTACAGTACACGTTTCTGTTAGAAGAGAACTGGTACTGTACTGTACCAGTTTGTGCAACTGTCGAATTAATTGGCAGGAAAGATGGTTTCTAATTTCCAACGCGATAAAATAATAATTTAATTGTAGCTTTCATCACTGTACTACTGTATAAACTGTGAATAGATGTCAGGCGTACTAATGAAAAGTACACGGCTTTTGCAAGGATTACTGATAATCACTTGCTTACTAGTACCGACAACACTTTATCGAAAAATTACCTCCAAATATGCAACAACAAACGTTGTGGAAAGAAAAAATGACGAAATTGTCATGCATTTAGACAAGCATAATAAGGAAGGTTCATCGAAAAATGAAGTGGGAATGACGTTTCAAGGAACCAAGGTACAGAGTACCCCTATCACGAATAATGGTAAATTAAAGGTCAAACACCAGTATTCTCCTAATGCCAAGACTACACCAACATATCTTGTAAAAAACTCCAGCACCAGCAGCATTAAAAGTGAAAGTCTCACCTCTAATGAACTTGAATTTCGTAACTTCAAAATCCCGATTGTCATATTTTGTTCTTACCGACCTGCATATATGGAACGGCTAATAAAGTCGTTGAAGGCAATAGAGGGATTAAGTTCTGCCAGCGTTTGCTTGTTTGCTTGTCAAAAAACTCCCGTGGTATCAACTCAAGATGTAAAAAAAACAAAGGACATTATAGCTAATGTCAAGTTTTGTAAAGCCAAGACATTTCTTACAGAAAGTAATAAACGCAACGCTAAAGAGTATAAAAGGCAATGGTACAATATCATGAGATTAGTATTTGAGAGCTCAGGTAATTTTAACAATTGCAGATACTGTACGATAAGTAAACGTTTATGTACTGGGGTAAACAGGATATAATGTTAATAATACTATTGTTTATGTTTGAGGCTTGCTAGATACACAGTTTATATTCTTGCATTTTACAATGAATCAGTAAATGAACTGGTATGTGGATGTATTTTTCTAATGATCAGTTTTTAGATATTTTTGATTTAGGCTATAAATATCAGCGAGACGTTCTATTTTTAGAAGATGATATCGAACTATCCAAAGATGCCTTGAAAGCTATATGGTTTATGTTAAAAGTAAAAAATTCTAATCCGAACACGATTGCTGTTGGTTTGGGAGGATGGTCAGGAGAACACCTTGTAAATCCTCACCCGGATACCTTCGTTATCAGGTTCTTCCGTAACTAACTCTACCAGTTGAATGAGCAGCAGCAGTACTTCTAATACTAACCATGTACTGTAAAAGGCTATTTTTAATTTAATGCTGCTATCCAATATATAGATGTTATACATATATATATATATATATAATTATTAGTATATATTGTAAGTTGAAGACAGTTAAAGTGTTAGCCAAGCTGGTAATGCGTTGCAGATATTGTTTTAGTGATCAAATATTACGAATATTCTTCGATGTCAATTCTTTCGCTAATGCTCATATTAACTACTAAGGATTCGACAAATAACGTTATACAGTACTATACGTATATTATGTACTAGTATAAACAGATTGCTTTTGATATTATTCACTCATGTATAAATAATACGTTGATATTTACTTTAGAATTATGCTTTACTTTCCTGGTATGGCTTACTCTTTTAATGCTTCAATATGGCAAGCAATATACCATTCAAAGTTTTTGGCAAGTAAGACTAATGATTGGTCTGAAGCAATTGCATGGATGTGGCCTGGGCGACATAATGTCGTGGTCCCCACTCTTGGTCGCATGTGGCACATTGGCGAAAGAGGACTTGGGAAGAGTGGTGACGGCAGGAAGCGACGTATACTGCAGGTTAATTGTCTTAACTTAGAAAATTTTGAACTACTTTAATTAATTAAAGCTTTATATAAGAAATTAAAAAGTGTAACAGGAGACACTTGTTGAGTATTGATTATCTTGCTTATTTGGTTATTACAGGCTAAGCCTGGATGGTTAGTGTCTCCAAGACTGATGAATCTAAAGACTGCTACCGTCAATTCAGGAGTACGTGACGTTTTTGGAATGTATTGTGATCGTAAGGTGTGGCAAAAACATTTAACAATCCCATGCTTATGTCCTGATACAAAAAAAAGATATCCGAACCAGAAGCATTTCAGTGTAGTTTGCGTTGACAATCCAATTGTATATGACAAATGTATAAGTAGGGATCCATAAAAATTAAATTATGGAAGGTTATAAATGCGAATCTTTTCAAGGTACTACTTTTATTTTAGTATCATTATATGTAAATGTCCAGCATACTAAGTACAGTACTTCATATCAGCATTTTGCAGTAATAGTCCAATTTAAGAAGTTGTCATGATTATTCACGCATCATGATTTGCTACGAAGTAGAATACAGCAGTACCAATTGAATAGTTCGGGCTATTGCAATCAAGAAGGAGGCAAAAGACCTTATACAGAATTTTGAACGTATATTTTTACTCTACTTGGTAAAAAGATTTTTATGATTTATTTTCTAAGTACTACTATATTCTTGAGTAATATTATACACGTAGTCATAACTGTAACTTTATTAATGATATACTCCACTGTATGTGCAACATAGCAAATATAATTTATTATTCTGTAAGGTGAAGATTCATTAGGAACAGTTTATTTAAGATTAAAGACTTTTGGAGTACATCATGAGTTTATGGGCTGAGATTTCACTTTGAATTTATCTCCGTTTATAGATTTTTATCGAAATGTATTTGCTTTGTGCGGTTATAATAAATTTATCTATTGAAATTTGTTGCTTTCAAAGATAAGTTGGGTATGTGGCAAATTCAAGTTGCGATTTTATATATTAAGAAATTAAAATCGTTTGTGGCCTACAGTGATTCAGAACATCTGGACATGGTCACTAACCTCACTATAACAGTAGAGTATTGCATATCAAAAGCTTAGAGCCTGGATTATCATTACTGAAATGTACTTTACGCGTGTTTTAATTTAATTTACTGTTATGGGTGCTACAAGTGACTACTGTTTCGTAATATTTATTCGAAACTTTTACGCAAACAGCTACCATTATATATGCAGTATATGCATTGTCTATGAATGCTACGAGATCCTGGTTATAGCTGTAGTCTTATCAATCGTTACTCTTTGACTTGTAGATTTCGACTATTACATCTAGTGCAAGCAGGTGTACATATCGCATGTTTTTTAAGCAAGGCTAAATATGCGAATATATATACTCGTGCATGTTAGGTTATAAAGACCTAAAGGTCTAAATCAATGGGGCTCGGTATACTTGCTGCATAGCGGGATAATATCATTCATTCACTATGATGTAAACAGTTAGGGTATGTAATTTTTTTATTATTATCTTATTGAAAAAGGTCATTTGTCTTCTACACTGTGCTGTATGCATTACAGTATGCAAATTTACCCAGTTTAGTGCTGTAATTTGACAGCCAGGCATTTATCATAGATTAGGCTTTATTCCTTTTTACACGGACACAACATTGAGTCATGTGGAGCGACACGCTTACTGTAAATCTCTGCCGCGCATTGCCCCTCTGCATTTTGCATTAAATCACTAGATGTATTTTGACTGGGGCTACTGATAGTAGCCTACTGTACAATGTGCATGCCATAGTTCTATTTTTACACATTGCCGAGTGCTATCGCCATGCTTTAAAAATTTTTGTTGCAACAGTGTAGCCAAAAACTCCTTTTGGTTAGGATACTCTTGAGAGATGGAATTTCTTGTAGCCCATTATACTGTACTGTACAGTACAGTACATTGTAGTGACTTGTACTGTACAGTACAGTACTATACTGTACACAGTGTACTGTACAGTCTGTACAGTAGAGTACAAAGACTGCAAGAGTACTCTGCTATGCTGTCCACCTAAAAGTGGTTAATTTTTTACTGATTTTCTGCGAAATTGAAATGAAATAAGTGTTGCTAGCTCCGGCTTTTACCTGTTCAAAAGCGCAAATCCGTATAAAGCAAACGCTGCAACGTAGAGAGCATAGTGATGGTAAGCTTAAAGATAACATGAGAATATGCAATTCCATCTGTTAATCCCGCATTATGTCATTGTAAAGGTCCACTCTGTAGAAGTAGCTACTGTGTATTTATTAATTTAGGTTTAGCCACGACCTTTTAAAAATTAATTAATTATTGCAGAAATCTCTGGTTTGATTGAATAGTACTATAAAGTAAGATATAGTAGTGTACGTTTAGCTGTTGTGCTGTATATTGCAAATTGTACTGTATTTGTACAGCCGGTGTACAGTAGAATCGCAAAGTCCAGACCATGAAGATCTTTAGGTATGTGATAGTGGTGTAATGCACTGCAAGTAGCATTGGTGCATCGTCAATAGGGTAATCGTTCAACAATGACATGTGTACTAATCCGGACTTTTAAGAGGTCCTTGATGAAATCTCTGATCGTTGAACTAAACCAATATACTTACTTTGCTATTTAATTATAACTGCAGGCCTTGCTAGGCTTTCAATTGGTGACAACCGTACTAGCTTCCTTTCTAATTCGACGACTTAGTCCTTATTATTCATTTGGACGGTGGATTATTGGACGAGGGTATGCTCGTACAGTATAAGACGTAATCTAAGATATCAAATTCACTTATTACGTTACAGTCCTTGAACTATACGTTCATTAGAGTAAAGGACAACAGGAAGCTGCGCGTAAGTCCTTGATTACACTTTTAACCTGTGATTTACATTTTATGCAGACTTATTCGATACATATGTCCTCCAGACGAAGCATTATGGGATATCTGCACCAATAGTAATAGAGAACTCTCTAGTACTGCAAAGAGTAAATATAAATTAACACAGAGGGAAAGGTACAAGATATTGTAAACTATGCACATTTTGTTAATATAAAGCAAATTTTAACATCCGATTGCAATTAGATCAATCATGGGCTTTATGATGATAAATTAATAAACTATACTTGTCGATTATATATAATTTTATGATATTATTTGCTAATGATTAAATCCATGCAGGAAAAAACTTAATTCACGAGCTGTACCTAAGGAATTTAAGTTACCTAAGAATGCTTCCTACGACGTTTATCCCACGGAGGTCAGAATGTTAAATATTGATTTAAGTTACAATTGTGTTGCAATGATAAAACATTTACATTGCTGGATGGTAACTAACAAATAGCCTTGTCCATTCATGTCAGAATAGGCTAATACAGCCGAAATATTGACTTTATACTACAGCCCAGATTTCATTTGGATAGTTGATTTTTTTATATACTCCCTAATGATATTTTCAATATCGGAACTATACTTTTGGCTTAAACCGGCTGCTTATGGAAATGAACTGAATCTCAGCATCGTTTGGTTACTGCTCTCAGCGTTTTTTGCATTGTATCCTGAATTGATTAAATAGACTTACTTAACGAATATGTGGATTGTACATAATATTACACTAGGAGTTTCATTCGTATTTACTTTTCTGGGCAACGAGTATATTTCTTGTGTGTTTTTGCTGTGTAGCAGAAAAGATCAGAGTATGTTTATTTTAACTTAAGTTGCATAATAGAAAATCGCTTTCCTCTCTGACGTTGGTATATTTCAGAATTGGTGACGGCGGTGAAAGCTCGATGTGTATTATCTTTGCTTCAGTTTATTTCTTGCTTTGCATGGTTGTCTTAACAGTAGATGAAACTATTTTAGAGTTTGGTTTATCATATGGTAAGAAATCGGAGTTTACAATTTTTTCTTACTTACTCCCTATTTGAAGAAATTAAAGGGGAATTAAGTGTGGCATTTACTAATCTATTTCCTTTTCTCATGGCAGTTTATGATTCTCTCAATAGAAATACCACCCGATTGATTAATTCAAGGTTTAAAAGCGCAACTGCTATATACTGCATTGCACATTATATACTGTGTGATGCTGGTGATTAAAGTTAATATTGCTAAAAGTAGATTTATAATTTACGTTGTATAGTACCCCAGCAGCTCCCATTTTAGTCAAGATCATCATTTCTGTGCTTTCTGCTATAATTGGGTCTGTCTTCCTCTTTCCGAGCTTAAGATTGGCGAAAATGCACTCGAAAATTGTCAGAGACTGGTCATCGGCTACATGGTATTTACTATAAATTTTATAGGTGGTATAAAGTAGTTAATCGTAATAACGATCGCGTACCTTACTTTCAAGGTTAAATGCACAAATCAGCCTGCTATTACCTTTCATTGTTATTCTGTCTTGGGTCAAACCCTTAGCCCGAGATACCATGGTAGCCACAAATGTAAACCAATCAAGAATTTTGTAAGCCTATAGATTAATTATCGAATTTTATTTTTCTCGAGGACTCACATAGCCATTTTTTTAGTGTTGAAGATGCAACATTTAATACGTCGAGACTGGGAATATTAATTCTTTTGAGTATCCTACGGTTCAGCTCTATAAAATCTTACTTGCAAGCACATTTAGACACTGCCTTAGACAAGGCAGAAAATTTTCAGAAAGAAGTACAGCAAATTACTAACCTTGAATTTAGGAAGGCGGTAATTTTAAAAAATATCAATTCGTTAATTGTATGCACACTTTAATGTAATGTAATGTAGATGTATTAGTATGTTTTCCTTGATATACATTGTCCATTCCTTACATCGTAGAGCAATACGATTGATAAAATCTGATGATACAACGCATTAGAGTCGATCGACGCTAACTTATATCTGTTGTCATAATTACAGATCAATCACGTCTTTCACTATCTCTGCATCGCAGCAACGCAACACATTGCGCCTGTAATTATTATTTTCGATCTGACTTTGCTGCTGAAGGCATTAGGTAATCGATGCACTGTTGCTGTTCTATTTCAACTAGTTACGTATATTTATATATATAATTATCGTAGACTTATATATGAAATAAATTATTTGTGAGGCTTTTAATTTTCTGTCACTTCCAGGTGGATATTCGTGGATGGCGGATGAGACATTTAAGATTATTGAGGTTGAAAGTAGTTCATCGGTTTTTTTTAGATTATTAGAGAAATTTCTTAATTCATCAGAGTTACTGCAAGGAAGTCATACCATAGCTTTTAGACCACTGCACACGATCTTTTCCAAAGATATTCTGAGAGGTATAATGTCATTTTTTACGTGGTGGACTTGCGGAGTTTATTTCATATCTACAGTCTTTGGAATTGTATACATAAATTTGAAATCTCGTGGCAAGTAAATGATCTGAAGTAAAAAATTGTCGGGCGAGTTCGATAGATTTCGTATGTAAATCTCATTACTAAACTGCTAGCGAGTAGCTAAGGCTGCTTCCATGTAAGAGTACTTCGAAGCTGCCCATTTGATTATGTAATCAGATATCGATTGTCTGTCATTAGAAACTGAAATGAGATTGTGATAATGAAGGCTAATAGTAGTGGTAATGATAACGATAGAACAACACTTTTAATTATTAACTTGACTACAAGTGTGTTCTGCAATAATGTAATAAATATAATTTTAAAATTATCGTAAATTTTAGATCTGATATAGTAAAATTTGTACTTTGAAGTAATATTTTAATCCTTGTACCTGCATACAAAATGCGGTACTACGTCAACTTAATAAATAAGGTTGAATTTACCATCGTAAAATTCTCTTGTGATAAAAAATCTTCATATTATATGTACTACCATCCAAATACAATGATTTCAGCATGTTATTTTATTTATAAATCAGATAATGTTACTCTATTGATGCTTTCGATATATAGCTGTTACATAATATTTCATTTAAGCTGCTTTTAGCACTTGCCCACAGCATAAAAATTCAGGTATTTTATTCTTTAAAATTGGAAATTAATAAAATTACACAGATAATTGTAATTTCTGATTTGAATTTCGCTTTTAAATAAATAGGGAATATTGATACTATATAAGGAGTATTAGCTTGTAAAATTATTTTATCGTTAATATAATTGTCAAGTCGTTTTCTGAGTCAAGCGTCAATATAGCCGCGGGTATCCATTTTCTTTGAGCTATCAAACCTTATCTTGCCATAAATCTGTTCCGCTTTAAATCTTTCCTCGTCAGTAATGGTGATATCATCTAGAGCCAGAAGTTTCGGAAGATGACTGATGGTGTACTGTCTGTGTTGTGATTAGTAATGAAGTTCAGTACCGATAACATAAATAGTACAACAAATTGTATACAGTTTACCACCGATAAAGTACGAAAAGTGCCCTTTATCCAACAAATCATTATAACACATACGGGAACATGTACATTGTACATTTAAGGTTTGCTATACACAACTTTATAACTATTTTGAGACTGTTACATACTTTTACCTGTAATCTGTATACTGGTACAAAGTGCCACCATTAAAGTAACTGGGAGCAGCCTGGTTGTTCATCATGCTCAGATATTTCAAGTTAGGAAATGCCTTGGCGATTTTTTCGATGAATATGCTTAAATTTTCTAATTATATCAACCCCAAAATTTATGAATATTGTTAGTACGACTAGTGAATTTAGTAAAGTATCTTTATCATAATTAAAGCCGTTAAATGGAATATCCATTCAAAAATCAGTGAATTTATTACTTGATGTAATTGCTAATATTGAAGACGAAACTAGGTCTTGAATACTCTAATATTGCAAACAAAATATACAGCACGGCACTGGCACACCAACCTATCTCATTATGGTTGACCCAAAGGGTGTTTAGCATTTCATGACTCGGAAACTGTATTTGAGAATTTATATGATTATGATCAAGAATTAGAATTCTAAGCTGCTTCAAACGTACCAAGATTCTAAGATCGCTAGATTTTAAGAAGTTGCAAAGTTAAAGAAAGTGCTTGTCTCTGTTACTGAATTTTGAACGTACAACAGCATTTAGGCTACACGACTTATTTAGAAACACACGATAAATCGGATACTTGTCCTAATCTCTAGCTACCATACCTATACTTTTATATCTTTTAAGTAAGTAATTTGTATAATTTTGTATGCAAGACGGATAATTACCTCTAGATGAATTTATGGTCACATTCATTTAATGAAAATTGATACTTGAGAGTTGCATTCGTTTAAGTTAGCAAGTATCAAATACTGTATATTAGTGTATAATCAACGGCCAGGGATTAGGATAGTAACGTGCTTGCACAGTTGTACAGTACATGTTCAATTCTAGTCAATAAATATGCCAATATGGCAAAATTGTAAAGTTGAGCTTCATCTTAGGGCAAAGTCCTGTAAGTACCCTTAGGTGATCTAAGGACTACAACTGTTTACGAGCCTAGGAACGCGCTTTCTTCGATTATACTGTGTTTAGTTATTACTAGTTGGAAACGCCTGCAAACGGTGATAGGCTAATCCAGTAAATCAATCGTGATCGTCTAGCGAATTTTAAAGTACTTTACCTTTAGTGTGGATTCATCTTAAAACATAGCAGTACATGTACACGAAGTATTGTATCATGAGCGGGATTCAACTAGTATTTAATAGTCCATGAATTTGTAAATCATAGTAAATGACTTTAATGAAAACTGAAGTAGTGCTTCAGTACTGTAATGCCTGATTTCTCAATTTAGTGGAGAGATCACTGGTCAGTTGCGATAAGATAGATTTACCGATCAAGTTGAAAGGCAGAAAGTGAGGAGAGGTAGTGTGGCAGTTGGCTGGTCATAAATAATTGATATTTAAATAAAACTATTTTGTGCAGAAAGTAGTTGCGTCATTCTCTTTCATGGATTGGAAAAATTTAAGTTTACAGCAATTCTCATAGCATGAAATAGAAAGTAATCATCTCTCAAGGTGAAGTCGCGTACTGTATCTATCACAGTATTGTTTCTTAATAAAGTGTCGCAATAGCTATGACGAATATAAACATAACGTAAGTATAATCGAAGTATTCATTGTACTTATAATTAGTTCAAGTTACTAGAAACGTATACAATGTAAAGGATACGAGATCTTGTTGTGGCTTAAATCAAGATGGATCAGCTTATCTTCAAAGTTTTTTAACGATTTTTCCGGAATTTTTTTGAGATGTTTATAGGCGAGTGACAGTCTTTCACCTTCCATCTATTTCTACTTTACTGTACTACAAGGCTATGACGATCATCATCAACAAGGACAGTTCCTGTAACGAATATGGGCTGCTCTCCTTCTGCATTACTTTCGTAATCGTTACTATGAAACTTTGTCAATATAATAATGGCTACGTTTTATAATGTTTAACTTTGGATTACGAAAGTTCCAGCCACCCCGATGTCCGTCGCTTACAGTAATAAGTACTGTACTTTACAGTGCACAGTACACTCGTGACCACTACCGTACTGTACACAGAACAGTACAATAAAGTACGGGGGTTTTTTTCTTACCTCTGTGACTACTGTACAGTGTACAGTACTGTAGTATTATACTGTACACTGAGTGTACAGTAGTATTTATACTGTACTGTACTGTATTCGGACTTAATAAAGAAAATTCCAGTACAGTATCCGGCCAGAGACTTGTACAGTAAGTCTAATACTATATTAGTCTTTAGAAGTCCCTGGTCGATGGTCAGTATTGACTCACTAATCTGGGCATGATTACTCCAAGAAAACAAGACCAATAACATCCCTAACAGTAAAGATCAATCTATGACGTAGCTTTGCGCTACCGATAACGCTAACGCATTGAACGATTGGATAATTTTAGATGGATCACATTACAAAACGCTTCATTGTACAGTATGGCGTTTGTAAGATGTTGAACAGTACACGGTTAGCGACAAACCGTACTGACTGACTGACTGACTGACAAGTACAGTACAGTACACTGACTATTCTACGATATCACGGTGTACTGTGCGGTACTGTAGGTTTCGTATAGACAAACCATACTGACTGACTGACTGACAGTACAGTACTATTCTACGATATCACTGCGTACTGTACTGTAGGTTTCGTACAGTTCAGTACGTTCTGTATTTGTTCTCCATACTGTACTGTACACAGTGTACAGTACTGTACAGTACCAGTATCATAAACTATCGTACTATCGTACTGTACAGTACATACTGTACAAACATACTGTAGATCATAAAGGTATTGAACCGAACCGGACCGAACCTTTCTCAGGTCTACATACAGTACTGTACATTGATTGAGCTGAGCCGTACAAGTGCACTAAATTACGTTACAGTATTAGTCTACTGTACTCTACCTCGTAAACCTCGACAGTACATTAGTAGCAGCAGTTGTGCGAGTCATCAGGAGTCCACGCTGCTATTTCCCTATACTGTACGTACTGCATTTTATTAGAACATTTTAATCATTACAGCGCTATTTACAGCACTGTATTTTTTGTAATTAATTTATTAACGGTAAAATAAAAAGTTCCTTGGATTAACTTAATTTACAGTTCAGATATCGGAGCACTAAGACTGAACACTGATTGAAATTTCAGAATGGCATTGGAAGTTGAGTCAACCGAGTTAGTATGCACCTGCTTCAAATGATCTTCTTTTGTATTTTATAGAATGCTTAAGTATATCTATAGCATACTCCAGTACAGTATAGTTTATTTATATTGAAGTTCTATTTGCAATGCAAAAATATCGAGATGTATGTTTTATAATGCGTATCTATTTTCAATTGATGATATGCATACGTATTGCAGCGTCATTCGGCTTATCCAACAGTACCTAAAGGAGAATAATCTGCTACGCTCTTTGGCAACATTACAGGTATGAAGTAGCTACGTGTATCTTACTGTTTTCCTTAACGTTGATAAATATCCTCGACATTGACTGCCTACGTATCTATATAAATTAACTTCTCGTACTAGTAATTGCGCGTAACACTTTCATGTTTTAGTTATGCAAATAAATTTCGAAAAGTTTCAGTAGATGCTATATCTAAAGTACGTATTAAAGCTTTTATTGCAGTCGGTAATACGTCTATGCACTATGTGTAGGAGGAATCGGCAATTGCTCTCAACACCGTAGACAGTGTGGAAAGTTTTGTTTCAGAAATTCATAATGGACACTGGGATAGCGTCCTTCAGGCTATTCAGTCACTGCGCTTGTCGGATAAGAAGTTAATTGACCTATACGAGCAGGTAATAAATAAAAAGTATTCATGATTGTACTGTTTATATCGACACTTTTACTATAGTATAAATTATAAATTACTGTATTTGTAAATGAAATGAAACATGGCCTATAGAAAGAAGGATTTTTAACGAATGCATTGTACAGATTGTCATAGACCTTATTGAAATGAGAGAACTTGGAGCGGCTCGCTCATTGCTGCGTCAAACTGATCCAATGATTAAGCTTAAGGATCAGCAACCGGATAGATATTTATACTTAGAAAATTTATTGGCACGCCCTTACTTTGACTCTAAAGAAGTATGAATCATTGCAAGTGTTGTATCAATATCAATGTTATACTACCAGTAGTACTTTGTTTAGTATACCCGTATGTTCTTGCTGTACTGTATTTTCTTTAGGCTTCATTGTATATTTTATATTTTTAATAATTAAAGGCTTATCCTGATGGCAGTAGCAAAGAAAAAAGAAGACATGCTATAGCTCAAGGTTTTACACATTGATATATTCTTAAATAAATTTTTATACTTTGATACTAAACTTTGAATCTGAAATTCAGCCCTATCTAGCGAAGTTACGGTGGTTCCTCCATCTAGATTGTTAGCTTTAATTGGTCAGGCTCTCAAATGGCAACAACATCAGGGATTGCTACCTCCTGGTACGTCTATTGATGTTTTCAGGGGAAAGGCATCTGTAAAAGGAGAAGAAGAGGAGAAATACCCTACACAATTAAATCGTACTATCAAGGTCTGATTAAGCTGCATTCTTTATGCAATTTCATGAGCTTTTGTAATGATTCTCTAATACCTTCTGTTCGTACGCTAAAATATTTTTAACGCAGTTTGGACAAAAGTCCCTGGTAGAGTGCGCTTGTTTCTCACCTGACGGGCAATATTTGGTCACTGGTACAATTGATGGATTTATTGAAGTCTGGAATTTCGTCACTGGAAAGATAAGGAAAGATTTAAAATATCAAGCTGAGGTAATACGGTTTCGATCATCAACTAAGGTACAATTTTATTTTTAGGGTTATTGAGTTTCATTTATATCATTCAATTAGAACAACTTTATGCTCATGAACGACGCGGTATTGTGCCTATGCTTTAGCAGAGATAGCGAGATGCTAGCTACTGGTAGTCAAGGGGGTAAGATCAAGGTAAGAAAGTTTCGAATATCAGGCTTAATTTGAGAATAGCTATAATTAGAGGCGGTTTACAGTGTTGTAGATAACTGCTAAATAGACTGTATCATGTTCACGTAGGTCTGGAAACTACAAAGTGGTCAATGCCTGAGAAGGTTTGAGCATGCACATACAAAAGGCGTTACATCACTATGTTTTTCTCGAGATTCAAGCCAATTGCTTAGTGCATCGTTTGATCAAGCAATTAGGTAAACTGCTAATATTGTAATCATTGCAATAGATTTTATTAACTGATGATAAATTTTAATTAAACAAATCGCATTTAGAATTCATGGCTTGAAATCTGGGAAAACTTTGAAAGAGTTTCGCGGTCATACGTCGTTCGTGAATAAAGCTATTTACAGTGCTGACGGGCATCAAATTATTAGTGCAAGTAGCGATGGCACCGTTAAAGTAGGCCTTCCAAGTTGCGTCTTTTAATGTTTTGCTTAGCAGCTGATACGTTATTTCTGTTATCATATTTTAATAAAACTGTAGATTTGGAGTACGAAAACAACGGAATGCCTTAATACTATCAAGCCTGCAATCGGCAATGTCACTACAGAAATTACAATAAATTCCGTAGCTTTGTTACCTCGTAGCGTGGATCAATTTATTGTGTGCAGCCGTACTAGTACTGTATTGATTATGAATATTCAAGGACAGGTATGTACATTGCTATTTATACTCATCGATTGGCTTATTATCTATAATTATAATTAAATGTACTTACAAGTGGTATTAACGAGTTATGCATGATGTTTATACTTAGATTATTCGTAGCTTTACGTCAGGTAAACGCGAAGGTGGAGATTTTATGTGTTGTTCTGTATCCCCAAGAGGAGAGTGGATTTATTGTATAGGTGAAGATAAAGTGTTGTACTTTTTTAATGCTACAAGCGGTAAGCTTGAAGGAACTTTAACGGTAAGCTACAGTTTTGAGATTGATTGCAATTATTATTTCAATAACACCAAACTAAAGATAGTGAATATTGGTCAATTAGGCACACGACAAGGATGTTATTGGAGTGGAGCATCATCCGCATCAAAATATCATTTGCACATTCAGTGAAGATTGTCAGCTTCGTTTGTGGAAACCTTAAACTTAATATTTTTTTTGCTGTATTCACTCAACATTATCTTTCCTTTAAATTTTCGATGTTAATGTATTATTGTAAACTATTGATAAGTAAATATTAAAACGATTTATAATTGAACATGCTTTAAGAAGGATGCAACGTTACTATCTGCCTTCAGATAACTATTGAAAAAGATATTAACATTAATTGTTATCTTGGTAAGGCACCATTGCCCCGGAATCTGAAGATATGGGATGATGTAGTAGTAATGAAAGCAGTTATTTGCATGCATTTGCTACTTTTTAGATTTGGCCTAAAAGGCATACATTTAAAAGCGTTCAAGAAATCAATTCGTAAGCGTTGCAAAAAGTTTAATTTCAGAAGGTTGCGTAACTAAAGACGAAACTAACTGCAGTCAATCGAACACCTTTCATCGGCTTTCCATTGTAAGCTACAGTATTATTCCACAACAGTTGAATAACTCTATTGATGTATTTCAATGTAGCAGAATTTCACTCTTTCGTGGGTGAAATTGTATTGAGCTATCGACTTTCACGTCTTATGATAACAATACGGCAATTTTTTACGTGCATTATAAGTTTTACATCAAGACAATATTGAAAAAAAAATTAATGTTAAGATAGTAAATAAATTTAAATTAGCGAAAGATTAAAAATAGCTAAAATTTTTCAAGGTTTTCCATCATTGCTTAATAATAACCAGTGCGTTTACTGCAAACTTTTAGGTACATATTCGCGCACATTCTAGGTATTTACTATAACGACACACGTATAATTGTGTCTAGAACTTGAATAATATCAGGGAATGTACATGTACATGTAATGACCAAAACTCAAACAAATGAGAAGTGCGTCACGAAAAGCTTAAAAATGTACAACAGTATAACAATTTTTACATTTACTTATTCGTATTATCAATCTAACAATGCTGGTTACCCCTAATTATTATTACTTATAGTGGAAGGCCCTAAGCGACTGAAAGAATGAAGATCCGATGAGGTTTCATCTCTCGTTTGACCTCCTAAATAATAAATGTCATACATTTTAAGGCATTACTATAATGATAAATCGCTACTAACTAGTAACTAAGAACGTTATTCCACCGTCAGGTGCATAGTCAATAAAATTAGCATGATATTATTAACATATTACAAACAGGATGAGTTCTGTGTAGAGTATATACTATGATTCATTCGATTCAACACTACATTAATTGGAGTATTTAATCGATATTTATATTCGCATGACGTTTGGCATTCAATTTTAGCCTACCTAGGATTTTATAAGCATTCTGTCTATTTCCTAAAACTCCTTCATCGGTTGAGTGTTCATGAAACGGTTTTACTTTCATAAAATAAGATATAATGTTGTACAACAAAGGCCTATAGAATTGGGTCAAGTATTAGAAAACTACAATCATATCCATATACTGTAGTTAGCTTATGAGTAACGTCAGCAAGGGATGAACTTACATTCTACCGCTAGGTTCGAGCATATCCTGAGCAATATTTAGTTCATCCATAACGAAACTTCTACCTAGTGATTTTTGCGGCTGATCAGATTCTAGTAGCATAAAGAGAAGTTGAAGTAACATCAAACAGTTTAGACGTCTACATTTTCAGTATGACTACATAGTCGTAGTGCCAATTATGGCCTAAATTAACTATCAGTTACAATCATTTCTGTGTATAATTCATTAATTGCTAAACTTGTGTGAAATCTGTTGCAAAGGGCGTGTGTACATTTACTACTGTAAGTTGTGGACTACTAGAAAAGTAAGAGTTGAAATTACCAGCTATCAGCACCGATTCGGTGTACTTGTAGTTATTATATTCCAGATATTCCCTGATTAATTCGTTTATTAAAACATTTTCGGCAGGCAGCTTTGGCTTTGGTACCTCCTAGTGTCGCATAAATAGCTGTAGTTTCAGACTTATAAAGATAATACAGTAGATACAAGATTGACGAGCTTTGTCATGTTAAAAGTTGATTATACTAATTAATTAAAATACGTATCCAAGATACTCGACATTGCTAAGTTACTTCATTGTAAGTTGATATAAAATAAAAATGACCATGTACTGGAATGCGTACATGTAGTATACAGTAAGTGTATAATAGTGTAGCCATCAGCAATTGAACGGGGGCTGATCTAACCTGATTGTCTAAAGCTTTGTAGACTTCTGCTCTTATCCTTGCTTTTAATTGGCCTAAAACACCTCGATTCACCAGCGTGTCCTTCACCACTATTGTAAATAAAGTTTAAGATATATATTATAACTTGCTAATGCTGTTGCTACCCTGATGCAGCTATCTCTTTCTACAATGTAAGCATCGTCCTCCACGAAACTACGTATCTGATGAAATACGTGTATAGGTACAGTATACCAAAGCACTGTCAATAATAACATAATGAGCGTCAATTAAAAGCAAATTCTATTTCTAATCATTTCATTTGTTGTCCATTGCTATATATTGTATGGTATAGTTGCTTAGTTAGCTGACAGCTGATAAATTGAACCTGAATGAAATTGAATTTTTTAGTTTCATAAATAAATATACACAATATCTACTGTAGGTCTATATCGTATTAATATACATACAGTATATATGACATATATAATCTATAATCTATTCTATAATGCACAAACCATTCGTCAACTCGTCCACGTTTGCCATCCCGCCAATATTGTCTGTCCAATCAACTGGCGATATATCACTAATATACTGTACACTGTACAGTATAACAGTTAGTGTACTGTAAGATGTAGTAGAGACCTTAAAAGGAGAGACTACAGTGTACAGTCAATTCTACAGTACTTCCTTGACAGTATGGGCTACTGTAGGCTAGTAAGTACTGTGCTGTAGCACTGTAGTCCTGCCTTGTGAGCTTTACTGTACTGTACTATAGAGGGTCTCTAGTGTACAGTACAGTATACAGTATTCCACTCGCGTATCATAGTAGACCTTAAAAGGAGAGACTACAGTACAGCGTAGAGCGTAGAAGAAAATTCTACAATACGGTACAGTACTGTACTGTACGTACTGTAGGCTAGTAAGTACTGTAGTCCTGCATTGTGAGCCTTACCATAGTTGTTGTACCGTACAGTACAGTACTGTACTGTACTGTACCATACAGTGTAACGTACTGTACAGTGTACATATGTACTGTACTGTACGCTGCAAGATGTCGCCCCAAGTCGAATCCATAGTCGCACTCTCGCTGGTGATACAGTACAGTACTGCGTAGAAGAAAATTCTACAGTACTGTACAGTGTACAATACTGTACAGTACTGTACACTGTACAGTACAGTACTGTACGTACTGTAGTCCTGCACTGTGAGCCTTACAGCAGTTGTTGTACAGTACTGTACAGTACACTGTACAGTACAGTGTGCGGTACTATAGTCTTGCATTGTGAGCCTTACCGTAGTTGTTGTACAGTACTGTACTGTATTATACAGTGTACAGTACTGTACATATGTACTGTACTGTACTGTACTGTACGCTGCAAGATGTCGAACCCATAGTCGCACCCTCGCTGGTGATACAGTACAGTACAGTACTGTACTATACTGTACTGTACTGTACCGTATTTCTCTTACCAGCCCTGGTACGGTACTGTACTGTACACAGTTGTCCTTTTTACTTTACAGCTTTTGCAGCTTGCTAATCCGTTCACGCTTTTTGCTGATTCTGCCTATTAGCATTGGGGTACTTTTGAAGACTTCAGACATGTCATTCCTCTATGTGCATAAGGATAGCGACTTTCCTATCCAAAATCTACCATACGGCATCTTTACATCGCAGGATAACGTAAGTCTAATTTGATATCAATCCATCAATAAATACATATTATTCAGCTAGACGTATTTCGGGCAATGGAGTCAGACCAACGCACAACTGTACTGAGTGTACTGCTGTTGCCAGCAAATGTGATCGCTTGTTGCTCAAGAGTACAGTCATGTCGAACCCATTGCCGATAGGCTTGTCTACAGGATAAGTCATTACATCGTTGCACTCTAGTGCCGTATCATCGGAAAGTGTTGTAGTCATGTAGGTAGGCAGGTTTACTTTATTTTTTCTATTCAATCAATTACAAATTACCATAAGGATAATAGCTACTATGCAGTGGGCTGTGTATAAATGCACAACGGAGAAGACTGTTGGTAGATTAATCATGCAATAGATCCTAGAAAGTATCTTGGATCTAGGGCAGTGATTAACTGTAAGAAAGAAATGATATATTAATGCAGCGATAATGATAAATGACAATTGTATATGCTTAACTTTAAATCATTGATTATGGATTGACACTAACCATTTGCAATCATACAATTTCAATCAGGCACGTCCTCGCGTAGGTGTTGCCATTGGAGAGCATGTCCTCGATCTCAGCGTGGTACAAAATCTATTTACGGGTCCTATCATGAGCAAAAATGCTGCTGTATTTAACGAGGTTATTATTGGCTGCTATTCTTAGATTACATGGACACTTTTACTGATGTACTCTTAAGTGTAGTGCAACAGAATACCGTTATATCACGATATTGCAGAAGCTAAAATGAAACTACTTTTACCAATGACTTCGATAATGATCACCTTGTACGGGTATATAATAATTCCCAATTTTCTTACAGTCGTCTCTGAATTCATTTATGGGATTGGGCCGCGATGCTTGGAAAGAAGCTAGAGCAACTATTCAACGACTTCTTGCTGCAAATGAAGTAGGCTTATGCACGCAATAACATATTGCTATTGTCTTGTCGGAACACTACACTGTTAGTCTGCAATGTAAAATTTTCTACTGTTGACTGTAGGGGATTATCCGTGATGATGGTAAACTTCGATCAAAGTAAGTTTGTTTTAAAGCCCCTATAGTAGGAACGTACTTTAATGGATATTTTTTTCAATCATGCCTTACATTGATTTTTGCTTGTGTTGTACAACCTGATTCCTAACATATTATTTATGTATATGCAACAAAGATGCTTATACTCTATGGCTGACGTCCAGCTTCATTTGCCATCTCGTATCGGCGACTATACAGACTTTTATTCTTCTCGTGAACATGCAACCAATGTTGGTACGATGTTTCGTGGAAAAGAAAATGCTTTAATGCCGAACTGGTCTGTTTAAACCTTGAAAAGGAGCTTTGTCAAGATCTTATTTACTTTTTGTAGTTATCTGAAGGTAGTCAATAAAATTCGATTTGCCTACGATTTTATAGGGTGCATTTGCCTGTTGGCTACCATGGACGTGCTTCATCTGTTGTCGTTTCGGGTACCCCTATTCGAAGACCATGTGGGCAAACTAGGCCAGACGAAAGTAAGTGCAACATGACTGCATAGCTAAAAATTGATGCTTAATAAGATTGCTAAATCTTCCGCATTGATGCCATGGTTTAGCTAAGCCACCTGTATTTGGAGCCTGTAGGTTGCTAGATATCGAACTAGAAATGGCAAGTTACCAATATAGCATAATAATAAATTTTTAACTTATCATTTGCGTAGCACATAGCGAGCAGTTAAAAATCGAAATCATTTCTTTGATGTCATAGGCATTCTTCACAGGTCCTGGTAATAAACTTGGTGAGCCTATTCCATCAGCAAAGGTATACCGTGCATCGATATCTATAGTTAGAATTCGGTAATTCTTTCTATTGCTTACCATTATTATTCTAAACCAGGCGGACGATCATATCTTCGGAATGGTTTTGATGAATGATTGGAGTGGTAAATAGTCATTGATTTTCTTCGATACGACATTATAAAAAGATAACACTTTCATAATTTTGCAACAATATTCTATCTGTAAAGTCTCTCGATTTACAATCAATTTCCTTTACTATTTTTTTTATATTATAATGACACCGATAACTAGCTTCCATTTTGATTTGATCAAGTCGGTTCTAACGGATGCATGTGTATCTTAGCTAGGGATATCCAAAAATGGGAATATGTTCCTCTTGGCCCTTTCTTAGGCAAGAATTTTGGAACTACAATTTCACCATGGGTTGTCACAATGGAGGCACTTGAGCCTTTCAAATGCCAAAATGTGCAGCAGGTATTCCTTTGTTGTTCTATTGAAAGCAGTAGTATCATGGAAGTAAAATTATATATAGCTTTAAATTTACATGATAATCGCATTTCCACGTATGATAGGATCCTCAGCCATTACCCTATTTATGTCATGATGATCCTTATAGCTTTGATATCAACTTGTCGGTCTCTTTGAATGGTATCATAATGATTCTCCTATTGGCAAAGACTTAATTGTAGATATAGAATTTTCATTAGTACCATACCAACTTTGTGGATCTGATTTATTTCTTTCTAGTTGACGGATTATCCGATCCAGCTGTCATCTGTCGATCTAATCCGAAGGTACCTTCATTTGTTAATAAAATTGATATTCAGAGGTGTTTACTACATGGCACCGTTTAAATTGAGATCAATGAATTATATATAATGAAGTAATCCTTGGTTCTTTTAAATTTAGTACTTGTATTGGACAATGAAACAACAACTTGCTCATCATACTATAACTGGATGTAACATTCAACCTGGGGATTTACTCGCATCAGGCACCATAAGCGGAACTGTACGCTGAAGCGCAATATAGTTGATTCATGTTCTACATTCCTTTGCACCATTGTCCAACATTTTTATAGTAATTGAATATCATTATATCCTTTTTAGACTCCGGACTCGTTAGGCTCGTTACTAGAGCTTAGCTGGAAGGGAACCAAACCATTAGATCTTGGTAATGGCATAACGCGCAAATTCTTACAAGATGGAGATGAAGTCATTATAAATGGACGTTGTGAAGGAGATGGTTACCATATTGGATTTGGAGATTGCCGTGGAAAGATTTTGCCAGCAATAATTTAGAAAAAAATTCGATAGGAAATATTAACGTTCGATTTTTGATTACAAATTGTGCTGTAAACTGATATAGATAGCAAGCAATTATTCCCTCTCTACCTTACATATATACGGTGATATTTCCCTACTGCTGTGTTTATTGTTGCAATTTACGGAGTATTGTGCATATACATACAAGAAGTTATCATGATCTCTTCAATAAATAAGCATTAATTACGCTAAACGTTTGCGTTGTGAGATGCCTAAGCAGCGTTTTATAAATGTTTTTAATGAACTAGTATCTAAATCTGCGATTAGTTATATCCGCAGTAACCCGTCCGTAATGAGTAAACACATCGGGAATTTAGCTTTCTACGCGTATATTACATAAATTGTTTACTATTAATTGTTAGCTATCTCTTCTGAAAACTTATAACTAAGGTTTGTCAGTAGTCTTTTGTTTATGCAATGCAAAATGATGATAGTTCAAAAGTTCCCTTTATTATTATCATTGCGATAGCCTTGCTAAAGATTAGAAAGGATGATAAAGACCTTATCCGGTTATTCTGTTTTTGCGTCAGTAAACAATTACATGTTCCCACGCAAAAACGAGATAGCTTCTCTTCATCCGGTCGCCTCTCGATAGGGATAATAACGTAGTCTTTTCACCCCCTAACCAGAATTAGTGCAATACTCCAATTTATTAAGAAATTGTCTTTTGACAGGAAAACAGGCATATGCAAACCGGTTAAGGGTTATTTAACACTAGATAAAAAAACGGCTTGTACGTCCAGTACGTGTCAGTCGTATACTGCAACTTTATTACACTAACAATCACGCAAAAATGAGACGAAATATCCAAATGTTTGACCATAAAAATAGAATAAGGTATTCATGGTTAGATGAATAACTGAGTGAGAAAAGGGTGAAATGGTACAGGAAAATACCACATCAATTACTGGTAACTATCGTATTATAGGTATAACTTAATACGTATTGATTGCAATACAATCGATAAATTTCAGGATCTATAATTGAAATAAAACATTAAATCTTGTAGAAAAAACATTTTTTAATGCCATTATCAATTATAAAAATATTTATTATTCTCTATGTTAATATTATTGTAAATTAATTTAAACTTATTTATAATCATAAGGCTAATGTTAGCAACTTATCATTAGCTTTATTCAGTATAGTATTTATTGTTTTGCCTCTGCCTTTTTCCATTATTATAAATCTAAACATACTATCGCGCTATAATTAATCAACCATGCTTTACTTGGATGGAATTAAACAAATGTTGATCTTGATTATGCGTTTATTTTCTATACAGATTGAAATAATAAATATTGTGTACGATACTAGTATTTCACTGCTGCATATAAAAAAAAACCGCCGAATAATAAACGAATTGACTAATCAAATAAATCATCCATTTTTATTAGTCTGGAACAAAAATGAAAGAATACTAAATTTTCTATTAATTGCAGTGAACTACAGATCATCCTACAGTTATATCGCTCTTCTGTTGTCCTGCGTTGGATTCAGTCTGGGTACGTTGTAAATAAAATTTTAAAAGTATTTTAAATTATCAATTTTCTTAGTCGATGATTTTTCCTTAAATCATAATTTCATTTTAACATATTTACGTCCTAGATTATACCAATTATATTTAAGTAGTATTAGCTTACAATATTATACATGTAAGAGGAATGGTAATGTTGAAAACATTCTTACCGAATTTAATACTCCCTACTTTCTTCAAGTTTCATTAGAGAGAAGTATACATACGTTAATTATACTGATAATATTTGTTGATGGTATGTAGTAAATGTCTTTGGAACGTTTTACTAATTATATAATGATTCCTTTAACAATGATACTGGTATATTGTTGTAATAATATTTTATTAATATAAAGCGAAGGTACGGTAGAGTGTAGTAACAGCGCCGTACCAGGTACAATTTGGAATCCGCTAATAATTTTCCTAGTGCTTAGAAACACACGAGCATAAGTCGATTATTAAGATGTCTAATAGGATTGGATTATTGAATGGATTTAGATTTCACTCTAAGATAATTATAGTAAACCCTGTTTTTAATTATAGGTAGTGTGAATAATAATTTATATTTCACACTTTTCTAATAATACGATTCCTTAAGCATTATAAATTGTGAACTAACTACCAGGTTGACTTCTTTAACAGTAAGTGGTTTTAGTTTCAGTTTTAATCTGCCGTAATAGCATCTTCTTATTTTGTAAAGAATCACAGCCTATGTTGTCAGTACTTTTAGAAATATCAGACTATATAGTATTAGTCATAGTACTGTACGCATATAAGTATCAAGTAAGACTATAAATACACCTTAACAAATAAGTATAATGAATCTAGAAGAAAATATTTCTTCCATAAGGCACTCTGATCGCCTGGTTATCCATTTTTTTGAATTTTATTTTAATACCAGTTATCCACAT